TTGCAAAACATTGCCAACACACACACACACGTATAAACACAGTTTATCCAGAGTTTATAATGAATAACTGTTTAAAAAAAAAAAGCGCTGATTGGGCTTTTGCGGTTCGCTGGGGAATACCTTAATGGGCGGATTGGTCATTCGCGGGGAAGGGGGCGGGGCAGCTCACAGCTGTTTTCAGCGACTGACCCGAAAAGAAAATGCGATAAAAGCAAGCGCGTATGCGCAGCACGCTCGAAAAACCGAAAATTCGGTGTGTACTTGTGGGTAGAAGTGAGATTGAGATTTCCAGATACGTGTCGCGCTCTCTTCCTCCCCTCCCTCTCTCACTCACTCACGCTATCCCCCTTCCAGCGTTTGAGCGTGTGTGTGCGTGCGTCGCTTTGTTTCTCACCGTATGAAAATGTGTTTTTTAAAAAATATTCCAAAATGGAAAGGTAACGGTCTGGAAGGGGCTTGGGGCGGCAAACGGTCACTGCTTGCCACACCACACTCCGCTGCTGCACTCTCCGTCCCGCTCGCTCTCGCCCACACTCCGTGAAATGCAGCAGCAGCAGCACACACACACACCAGCACTTTTCTATTGCATGCAGAATACTCACACACGAGCGCGGATTTGGTAATTGGTAATTTCGATATTCCCGTAACTTCGGATTTTCAAATCTTTCACTGACTTTTGGGGCCTTCTTGGCGGTGAAGCTTGTGCGTTTTTAGCGACCTGAGCTTCATTTGGGGCCCGCTTTCGAGCAGCGCACACGACTTGACGCGGAGAGAACACGATTGCTTGGATGTAGATTAGAGGTGGAGAAAAAACGAAACGATGTTTTCAAAGCATCAGTTCAAATCGGATGGAAACATCGCTCGCGCTCAGTTTTTTCAGTATTTTTTTGGTTGAACGTAAACAACGTAAGCAAACGTAGGCAACAGCAAGTGTCAGTAAAAAACGAGATAGAAGAATAGAGGTGGAGAAACATCGATGTTTTCGAAGCAAAGGTAACAACGATGTTGTTGCTATCTCTTACACTTACGGTTGCTGACGTTCAAACACAAAAATACCGAAAAAACAATTTCCTGAGAAAAGAGTAACCTTCTTGTATTCGCTGAGTATGCAATGTTGTTCGAAAACATCACATTTACTTAGTTTTTGATCAGTGCAATCTGACAGCTGAATTACTACGACTCTGAGAAAAATAAGTTTTATACCTTTTTTCCAAAAATACCAGAAACATTTCGAACCGACCCGCTGAAATGTCAGGTGGGTGTCTTTGCTAGCCCAGCGGCGTCAACCTCCCGACATCGCGCATTTCTTAGCACTTCTCAGTGAACTTCAGAGCCTTTTAACGGATCTCGATCTCATCTTGAAATGAAATATTGCTAGCTTTTTGTAGGAAATGACCAACCCCTAACTTGTATCCTTTTTGGCTAGACCTGGCACTTGTTGCACCAAAACATACGTTATTTATTAAAGAAAAGCCATTTTAAGGCGCATTCGCATCCCAAAATTGTTGCTTAAAAAATGGATGTGCGAGGAAGGAGTTATATATAATTTCACTACGCTTGACCGCTTTAAGTAATCATAACACATTCCTCGCTTACGATTCTTTGACTATATGCGTTTTTTAAGCTACAATTTTGGAAGATGGATACGTCTTAAAATGGCTTATTCTTTAGATATGTAAATAAACAGGTCGACAAAAAACCCAAGACTAAACCCTACAAAATCTGAAAGGATTTTACCTACAGATTTCGGCTCCAAACTTAGAACCTTTCAACCATGTCACAGTTGAAAAAAAACTTGGTCAACGTACCAAGTTGCAGGTACACTCATACTCGGCTGGCACAAGATCAACTCAGGATCTCAGGAGCATGCTTAATAGATGTTTAACTTTTGTTTTTAAGCTTTTGAAAAACATTGATTTTTGGAAAAGTGGCATTCAAAAACGAACCGTTTATCATTATACCCTACACAACCATCCATATAAAAATATACTAATAATAATCTTTCACATATTCCCCCACCAATTAAAGTCAACAAGTCACGTTTAACATTTACATATATATTCGTATTTCGCAGTTGCAATTTGCGTATAGTTGTGTGTAGACCATACTATCAGCGGCTTATAAACATGAACAACAAAAGTACATAAATGTGTTAATAAGAGTACGATAACAAGAAATTTGTGATCTGCGGTCGTGCCGAAGTATTCATAAACTTTCCGAGAGGGACCTGTCTAATCATATAAAGTCCTTTTAGTATGTACGTTCTAAAAGGGACACAGGGCGATAGTTAGTAACAGCTTATAACCGTATCTAAAGTAAAAACGGATAGCTGCAGTTGGACAAGTACTTTGTAGACGCTTAAAGGTATTCCATTAGCTAATCACCGGATAATTTGAACTTCGCTGTAGTAGTTTGTGTGGGTGCAATCAATTGGTTCGCTTAAAAACTAGTTGATAAACTCGGTATGATGTGGATATCCGCTTCACGAGAGGAACGTGCGCACGAATCCCTTGATGTCGGCACGGCACATGGGACAATTGGCTACGCTGGGGGCGCACTGGTTGCAGGTGGCTAGAGGAAAGGTGGATATTAGTGACTGCTCAAGGTTTTGGGGTACTTCATTGACTCACCCAAATGGCCGCAGGGCAGAAAAACCACGCCCACCTCTTCGTCCAAGCACACCTTGCAGAGACGTGCATCCTTGAGCTGGCGGTTCTCCTCCTCCAACGACAGGTTGCCATTGGGCGAGGTCACCGACATTTTCTGCAGCTGGTCTGCGATCTTGGAGGTTTCTGCTACTGGCACCGCCTGCGGCTTGGCTGGGATGGAATCGGCCACTACTACTGGCACCGACCCTGCTTTGCTGGTGGTGGCTTGAGAGGTTTCCAAAAAGGGGGCACTTGGCTGGGGGGGTTCTCGCACCTCCAAAGCAACCTCAGCGCCGGCTTCATCGAAGATCGCGTGCAGCAGTTCGTCCAGCGTGGAAAAGGCGCAGCCGGAGCTCGAGAGCTTGCGCTGGATGGCGTTGCGCACCACTCCTCCGTCGATGCCCAAGGCCAGGGCCTCCTTTGCCGGCGCCTCGTCCATCAGAGCGTCTGCCTGCAGGGATGGGGCCGGTGCCGTGGCCGGTGGGGACCTGGCATTGGCTGCCGTTGCCTCGAGCACTTCGTTCACATAGGCTGGACCTTTGGCCAACAGTACGAACTGGCACTTTGGTGACCATTTGGCGTGCTCGTGCCACGGCTCGTCTTCCTTCTGCCAGGAGCGCAGTCCGATGTTGCAGTGGAAGCAGCGCACCTGGTCGCCTATTTTCTGATAATATAAACCAGCTTGGGCCAAGGCATCTGCGGGCTGGATATTGGCAATGGGCCAATCGGAGAAGGTTCGCATTCTGGCGTCCACACAGGCGTACTTAGGACGCATCGGCAGAGTAGTGGGCTGGATGCCCAGCTCGTCTAGGTTCTTTCCAGCGGCAAACTCTATAAGAGGACCCATCTGAACACGGGGACATTGCGGAAAGAATCGCTGGTGCTCGTCGAAGGCGTTGTCGTTCTTCTCCCACTTGGCAATCACTCCGTTGCACCACACGCACTTTACATGATCCAGGCGGTTCAGATAGTAGAAGCCAGCCTTGGCCAGAGCCTGAGGCGTGATGTTGGGATTCTGGAAGGGAGATGGTATGAGTTGTTTAATTTAGCAGGATAATCCTTAAACTATCACCAACAAGATTGGTGTGCATAAATGTTGAACATATATATTACTTCAAACTAATACTCAGAGTTGTAATGTGTACTGTGTACTGATTATTTGAACTGGGATTCCCTTGGGCCTGTTAATGCGACTTATCAACTACGTAAACTGGTGTAATTATAGCTCAACAGTGATAAAAAAGAGCACGCTTTGGTGAATCACCAGCGAGCAAGCTCTGTGAAAGCAAGGGAAGCCTGGGCAAGCTACTCACTGGCCAGTCCTTGAAGGTCTCCAGTCGGTTGGCCTCCAGCAGGAGATCGGGACAGGCGCAGGACGCAGGGCTATCCACCACACTGTTGCCCTCCTGGTCGTTCTCCTGGTTCCTCCGGACATTGCCGCAGTGATTGGGGGCCAGGACCATTGAGCAGATGGGCGAAGACCGACGGTGACGATCCGCCACCAAGTCGCCGTAGTCCCAACGGTCTATGCGAACGTGGCAGAAGTGGCACTCGGCCTCCAGCCAGTTGCCCGTGGCAAAGAATCCATTTTCCACCAGATCCTCGGCGGAGACGGGGGCGTTGAGGGGCCATTCCCCGAATGTCGCCAGGCGAACGCTCTCCACCTCCAAATGCCGCTCCGCCATCGTGTTGCGCCAGGCCGGATCTGTATCCTCACCCTCCAATGATGTAATGCGAAATCACCAGTTAACGCGGAGTGAAATAAAAACAAGGCAAAAGAAGAAAAGTAAACTTATTGATTTGATCCTAGAGATGGGTTATTCACTTACGATGGTATCGATATCTATATTGATTCCAGTAAAACCAGTGACAGCGAATCTGCAAAGCAGTGCTAGTCCAAGCAGTGTAAATAAACTCTAAAAATTTAAAAACATCAAATTGCCAAATGCTGTTTATCAGGAAATTATAAAGTATATTATTACTTTTTCTTGCCTTGTTAATAATTATAACCGTTATTCGTAGAGTGAAATGGTATACTATGTTGTTTGCCCGTATGAACGTTTAGATCTCGGAAACTATAAAAGCTAGAATGTTGGGATTTGGCATGGAGATTCTTGGGCTTCCTTTACAGCTCATGTATGTTTTGGTAGGGTGCCACGCCCACTCTAACGCCCGCAATCCATCATAGCACCAAACCACGTCCAGCGCCTGCCTTTCTTATTGAAATCGAACCAGTCATTAAAAAGATAAAAACAAATAAAAATCAATATTTTGAAAATTCAATCGAGATTGCACACGAAATGCATCAAATCAGCTGTTTTCCCTAGTATGCCACCAAGCCGCTAGTTGGCCCTATATGCTAGTTTGCGCTAAAAAACATATCTTACTTTTAAAAAGTCAGATAAAATTACCGTGATAAAAAAACCATCTAAATTTAAAACTCATTTTAAATACAATTTAAATTTAATAATTTTTAAGAGAGATTAATCAATATAAGTACTTATGGGATGCTTGAATTACTTAAAATATATTAAGGTCAGATATTATAAATATTTTTCGAAAAATCGGTGGGTCGGTTTTGGATAGAAGGGTTAGAATATTTAAGCATTGCGGCGAGAACGTTTGTTCCTCTTCCTCTTGTTCTTCTTTTCCTTGGGGCTCTTCTTATCCTTGCGATCTTTCTTTTCCTTGCGGCCCTTCTTCTCCTGGCAGCCCTTGTTATTATAAATTTTAATGACCCTACCGGGCTTGATGGTTTCCTCAGTCGCACGGATAATGTGTTTTACTTTCTTCTTGTCGGAAGACGAAGCCTCCGTGGTGGTGGTAGTGGTGGATGTGGTCGTGGGGGCCACAGTGGTGGCTGTGGTGGCAGTCGTGGAATTGGATGAGGTCGAGGTGGTCGGATCGGACGTGGTGGGGGAGGTGGACGTCGTCGGAGTGCTTGTTGTCGGATCGGAAGCGGTCGGAGTGCTTGTTGTTGGATCTGCTGGGGTCGAGGCGCTATTGGCCACCGCCAGGAAGCAGGAAAGGATCAGCACGCAGTGGAATCGCATCTTGTTGTGGATCAGATACTTGGAACTGGGAACTGTGCTTTCGAAAGAGCTTCCCCTAGGCTTTTATAGCACCACCCAACCGGCAAACCTTCTCACCCACGCAGCATCAACATTTGAGTTATTTGCCCAGGGCAAATACCTCCCTGTTCCTTCTGCCTCTGATCTCGGGATCTATAAGTTTGCTATATTTGTTTTCACTGTTTGCACAAGACACGCTCAGAAAGGAGTTTGTTTGCACCCGCGAGACACATAATTGGCACTATTTGCCAAATCTCCAATCGAGGGTAAGTTCCAAAACAATGGCATACATTTCATTTGCAAATGTGGTTCTATTTAATTGCTTTTTTTTTATTCAAAGATTGCGAATTTTCAGGTTTGGTTTTCATATATACTTAAAAAGTAATTAATATGCTTTCTATTGTTTTAAGGAACAAGTTTTATTTAAAACATTAAAAAGAAGTCAAAATTATTTTAATTGGTGATACTACGTTCATCAAAACCAGTTATTGATTCGAACAAACTGTTTCCGAATTTCAAAATGTTGTATTGATAATAAGAACCAAACCTCTTTTAAACTTTTTTAAAATAAATCTGGGCGCTAGACGGGTTTTTAGCGTTATGGGCGTTTGTGAGCGTTAGAGTGGACCCCGCTGAAACAAACTAACGCTGCGCAAGAAGCCCAAGAATCTGCATGCTTATTCCCAACATTTAAGCTCATAGGTTTCGAGATCTCTGCGTTCATACGTGGACATGGCTTTATCGACTCGGCTAGTGATCCTGATCAATAATATATATACCTAACTGAGTCGGAAACGACTCTACGAGAAACGGGTATAAAATTACCGACAAAATACCAAATACTACGAGTATAAAAATATATGGCTTGGAAATCACTTTCTTTCGCTATCTGCATTTCAACATCCAAAAGTGATTTGAAAGTTTTTAGTAAAACTCTTTGTATTGTCTTTTAATCTTCCAGAAGTTACTTTAAAGTGACTTCAGGACGACCGGCGATAGTTTGCTCGCCCAAATGCCTGCCACGTCGATTTAAATCGGTAGTTTTACGATTTTTGTTTAAGTTGTCAATGGCAACGGAAGGCTAAACAAACATAAGCAACTACATTACAATTTCACCCTTACATTAAGATGGAGGAACTTCAAAAGGTTGGACTGTTTATAGATGACATCTACAGACTGCGCGTTGAAAACCCTAGCCTTGTCGGTGACAAAATAAAGTTCAAGCAAGAATGCTTACAATACTCCAAGAACTTTAACATTTTCAAGAAGTTAGCTTTTGATTTTTGGAAAATATACAAGACCTTTGTAAAAGATGTCGATAAGGAAAAACTGCTCTGTATTGGTACCCAAAATCAGCTAAAAACCATTTCTAATGTGCGCCAGAGGAAGCAGCAAGTCGATCAGTACGAGACTTTTGAGAAAACTGTGGAACTGGAACGTTTAAAGACCGAACTGCAGTATTTGCGACGAATCGAGACAGTGCAAAATGAAATAATAAACAATTTCTTTCTAAATCATTAATAAAGTTTTGACTTTTAAGAGCTTTTGTATATCCTTTAATTTTTTGTTAAGATTTCAAAAACCGCTGGGAGAGAGGCGAAGGTAATTGTGCAAACTTTTACCTGGTGAAAACTATTAACTGGTTACCTTTAAGAGTGCCTATATAGGATATTTTTGTATATAAGGACCTTTTTAACTCCCTGTTACGTGAAATAATAACAAGGCAACCCTGTTCAAGCAGTCCACATTCACAATCAAGCAGTTTCCAGATTTTTCGTGAGAATCATACGACAGCCTACTAATTCTACAGCTGATCCAATAAACTAACGATAAAATGCACCAAAATCTCTTGTTTATTTTGTGTGAGTTCTTTTTGATTATATAGCTGTTTTGAAGACACTAACATATCCCGACTTCCCCAGTGCTCTGCGCCACCGCCACACAGGCCCAGGCGGAACTGTCCGGACTTTTGAGTGCCCTCCAATATTTCGGACTCTACTCGAATGGAACTTCGGAATCCCTGGGAATTTCCCGGGGCCAGTGCCACTACACTTTTGAGACATTCGCCCTGCTGGAGGAGCGACGCGTGTGCGCCCCGGATGACGAGCACATCCTTCACCTGACTGCCGGCCAGGTACCTCCGGTACGAAAGCCACCCATTTTGATCAAGTGCCTGCAGCAGGATCCGCCAGAGAATGAGACTGCACACGAGCCGGGACTGCTGATAATGCGCAGTGCCAAGGAGATCGTGGGTCTGCTGAAGCCAGTGGGAAACGCCACCAAGCGCCACGAACCGGGCAGCTGTGTGGTGGTCCACTTTTGCACCGCCTCCAGCTTGGAGTGCGCCCGAGTGGCTCCGATGATGAACCTGCTGCCCCATCTGTTTCCAACGCTGCCCATCGCCTATGTGGATGCCTACGAGTTTGGACGCTTCAATGCGGAGTTCGGAATCGTCTCGCTGCCCACGCTGATGATATTCCACCAGGGCAGGCCGCTTATCAAGTACGATCCCTCGTGGTCGGACTCGGAGAAGCGCAGCTTTGCCCGGTTCATCATGAGGCACACGAATGTGAAGACCGTGGATCCGCAGGCCATTCATCCGGACATTTTCAATCGCACTAGGAGAGAACCCCTTTCCAATGTGCCCATCGTGCAGACGGATTACTATCTGGGCCTGGCTTGGGCCTTCATCCTTGCCTGCCTGGCCAACTACCTGCGACAGACCGTCTTCTGGAAGCAGCTGGTGGAGATGGTTCAGCGAAATTGGCGGGAATCGGAGGAGACGCAGATGGAGATGGTGGACTAGTCGGTTATTTAGTTTAATTCCCTTTAAGTTAGGTACAACGCATTGGATGATTCACTAATATAATGTAATTACCGTTTAATTAAATTCACATCAACATTTACTTAAGCCTTATGAATTACATGTATTGGGGAATTGGTAAATGTAGTGTTTTCTATGTTTTGGAGCGCCTTCGAATCGCTAGTGTCCCTTTACACGGGTTCTGGTCTCCGTAATTTAAAGCTTAGTGGCTAACGAAATCTAGAAACTTGAGAATTAGCCAAATAATTCAAACTTATGATTACGATTTCATATATTATCCATTACTTTCTTTGAATTTGCGATTAGGTGTGCGAGAGTGTAATGATTTCGGCGTTGAATAGTCACTTTTGTTTAATGTAAGTGTAGGCGATTTGATCTGTATCCTGTGTGGTCATCAAAAAGAGCATTAACTTGTCGAATTTGGAGTGTTAGACTGATGTACCACGCAGGATATGACCGAACTGAAGAATAAAGTTTGTTGAAAATATTTGAAATGGTTATTCTGCTGTAACATAAAGATGCTCTGGAACAGGACCAACGCTTGCTTCCAGTGTTTTTGAGTGTGCGATTTGGAAGATGTTAGCATGGAGCTGGTTACGCTGCTACTACTGCTTCTTGCCGCGCTTGCCCGCCTTGGAGGAGTTGGCCGCCTCGTCATCCGTTTGCTGATGCTTCAGGACGCGCTGTTGGCGCCTCGGATGGGCGGCATAGGGATGTGGGTGTATGCTGCATTGGGGAGCAAAAACAGATACTTATTACTAAATATGTTCCAAAGTTCTTGGGCGTAGAAGGTATACAAAACAAAAGGTACACATAATCATTCGTACACAGGCCAATTCGAACGCAAGTGGAAATTTAATGACAGGAAGAGAAGGTCAAAAGAGCAATGATGGGTGATATGTGGGCAAGCTAGTGATGGAGTCGTAGGATTCGGAGGATTCGCGCGTAGTGTCGTTAGTGGAGGCGCAGCAACAGCAGCAGCAACAACGTTAGAATTTTGATTAGCGTGGATGGCCAATTATGCGTCGCGTAGAGTGGGGAATCGTCGGAGTGTGGCTCTCGCAGACTGTGGACTACGGATTACAGATTACGGATTGGCGATGCGAGGCTCTTGCGGGCGGGTCAAAATGCGAGTATGCAGACAGAAAGTTAGATGTGTGTGGGAAGGTGCGGCCTTACACGTAGCTTGCGGCCGTAGTGTTGCGCTGCTGGCACGGAGATGTGATGTTTCTGCTGGTTCGATGGTTCAAAGTTCTTGTGGCGATGAGGCGGAGGAGCGTAGCGTTGGTGGCCCTTTCGGTTAGTAGAGTGCATGTGGTTACGTCGAGGCCCGCCGAAAGCCGTGTCTCTCGTCGTTGTTTTGATTACATATGATATTTATCTGGATTAGCATTGGTTTCGGTTTTGGTTTTTGGTACGGTTTCCGCTCTACTTGCGGTGGTACCGTGAATTATAAAGACGCCAATCTCTGCATGATTTGGAAAGTACAAAATGTTGATGGAGAAGAGAAGAGAGAGCGAGATGTCGTTAATACACTAGGGTAAATGGTATATTACAATATCATATCGTGGCTACCCAGGGAGTCTATGTAGAGTTCGAAAACAATAATCGTTTCAAGCAAAGCGGTATAAAAATGAAATCAGTTAATGTTGAATCCTAAGTTTTGTTATTTCAACCCTGAATCGGACCACAAAACCCTTGCGCTAAACTTCGGATGTCCGAAGACGTATTTGGTTAGGACTTTACAAGCAGTTTTGGGATGATGTTCGAAGCCAATATAGTCTAGGTTACTTGGTTAATCCCAAATCGCCGGCTCCCGCCGATCTCGACTGAACAAACCTTGGAGAAGTGGACACCGTGGCCAGCGGCGAGGATGGGGGTGTCCGCAGTGGTCGGCGGGGCGTGGCCAGGCCATGCCCATGGCCATTTCGCAGGTACGATCGACGAGAGCTCACGTAGTTGTTGTTGTTTCCGCTGCTTAGATCGTAGATTGCTGGCGAAGATGTTGCTGCAGCTGCTGTTGCAATGCTGCCACTGAGTCGATGTCGTAGTTGTCGCAGTATGGAATCGAGTCGAAGAAAAGTTGGAAAAGATTACAACAATACTTTTGGGAGTCGGGGCTATGCTAGTTGGCAATCCAGTTCATTCAACGCGGGGCTCTTGTACGTTCGTGAGTGGGTGAGAGATCATGGTGAACGAAAGGAGTCGTGGGCAAAACGAAAACGGAACAAACGAAAGATGTTGAGAGCTTAAGTTGCCGCCTACCTCTGTGCATTATATGATTTCGATTCGATTCGTTTCGTTTCGTTTGAACGCAGTTGGGAATGTAATTAGCAGAAATTTATAGTATGCAATTCTGTTTCTGTTTTATCGGATAGTTAGTAAAATATACTGTATGTACTTTAGATTTAGTAATTATATCTGCAAGTAAATACAAACGTTTCAATTTAGCAACAGTTGTGTGAGAGGAGTGGTTGGTTAGTTGGGGGAATCTTTGGATCGCGCGTCAGCGAATGCTATTCGGCTAATCCTACACAATCACGCGCACGGAACAGGGACTCGGATGTGGGTGTGCTGCTCTCCATTACACTCACCTGTTCACGGGTGCCGTTGGCGCAGTGGAATAATGGCGGCCCGCGGAGGAGCGAACTGGCGGTTGCTCCTGGATCACACAGTCATCATCTTCGTCGTCATCCTCCACCGGCTCAATGGTCAATGTTGAGGTGTGAGCCGGCGGACGGGCGGGCATGATGGCCTGCATCCCACCTCCACGATGTCCTGACTGAACAGCTCCGCGAGATGCGCGCGAAGTGAACTCGCGGTCGAACTGCTCGGCTTCCTCCTCCTCCAGATTGATGAACTCCTGGCGCTCCTCCAGTTGGCCGGACCGCATGTCCTGCTCCTTCTCAATGATGTGTGCCCGCTCGCCGATGTGGTGGCCAATGGCCATCTTCTTCAAGCCAGTGCGCGAGTCCTGCACAGTCTTGCGGGTCTCACGAACGCCTCCGGGTCCGGTTTTGGTGCTAGTGCTGGCCTGGTAGATCTGCGGGCGGCCATCCGGACCCGAGGACATGGTCATCACGGTGCTCTGGCAGAAGGAGGCGCCCGGGTTGGCACCAATGTCTGATATATAACGAAGAATTAGAAACAAATCTCAGGAGATAAACTACTTCGAATACCCACCAGCATTCAGCAAGCGATTGAAGTTGGGCATCATGGGCATGCCGAAGAGTCCCATGGCGGGCATGGCCGGCATCTGGGGACGCTCCATCAGGGCGCCCTGCTGGAATCCAGGGTCAAAGGGCGAGACCTGCATGAAGGGATCCGGCATGAAGCTGTTCATCAGGCGGTTCATCGAGCGCATTTGCATGTTCATCGCGTTCATCGTGTGGTTCATGTGGTTGCTGCAATGAAGAGATATGAGAAATAAGTTTGATTTGACTAATATTTGAGGGTTACTCGGGCTCCATTTGAGAGCGATTAGGTCTGTTACTAAGTGATTTTCTTTTACGTTTGTTATTCATTCTAAACTGGGCCTAAAAATAGTTGTAGACAGATATCGAGGCGAAGTGATAAAATCACGGTGGCCTGCTGTGTTTTTGTATAGTATAAGGTCCGACGGGCTGTTCGTGGGTCACTTTGTGGTTGGGCCTTATCTGAGGACCCAGTGACGGGGGGAAACCTTTCAAATAAATGCATTTTCCAATTGCATTTCCCTGCGGTCGCTCGATTCGAATTATCGATTATTACGTCTTCTCTTCACGCATGCTGCACACACACACACACGCGTGGAAACTGGCTGTAAGTTTTGGCACGCTATTTATTGCCAATATTTGGGCTTTTAAATGACCTGGTTAGCGGATTTATGGGCCAATTACTGATTTACACCTTAATTTCAAATTGCCCGAGTGTTTTTCCACGCCCTAAAAAGGCGTCATGGATGCACACGTATGGAAATACATAAATGGGGCTTCTTCCGCAGGAGTGCCGCATATGATTTTTCCACTTTTCTTACTTACTTCATAAGACCAAGGTCATCGTCGAAGTCTCCCATCAAGGCACCGAATAAAGACATTTTCCTGGCTTTTATTGACTCGCAGTCGCTCGGGTTTTTCCTTTTTCCGTATGCAGAATTTTCACGAATTTTCGAGACAGTGATGTGAAAAATCATAAATCATCGATATTGTTTGGAAATTTCTCGATGTTTGTGCGTATATCGATGTTTGCCCGTCCCTGGAAAAGCAGTTAGCGAATGCACCAACCGCAGTTAGCAAAGACACAAATAGTAACTGCTACTTCTTGCATCCCTGGTAATTGCATTACGTTACGTTATTGAGCACTGCAGCCCTGCGCGCTCACACACATTCGCCCCCAAATGTATCGGAAACATGCAGCCGACTTAAAAGTGAAAAACTAGTTAGCAAAAACAGCCGATCAGCGTGGATAATAAGAATTGGCAGTACAAAATTAAATGGTAAACAAACAAGCGTGGCTAATTTAGGCGCAGGGATAGTGGCCAGTGAAAGCCAGAACACTCTCTCTCGCTCGGCTACCAGTGTGTGAGTGTGTGTGTGCGTGTGTCTGTGTGTCTGTGTTGACAAAATACAACAAATCGCAGCGAAAACAGGAAGTGTGTGAACGATAAAACATAAAGATTGCACATTCCGCATCAAAATAGGGGACAAAACTGAAAAGTCGGGGACGGACTATGTGAATCTATGTATACACCGCTGGCCCACTCACATTTAACCGCAGATCAGGGGGCGTTTATCTGAAATGGTGACAGGTTTTGCTGGCTTTTTGATTTGACACTGCATCGTTTATTTAGTTGATCTGAAACATCACGTCATTTATGCCACGCTCCTCCAAAAAAAACCGAAGATTCGACTGCATTTAAGTAAATAATAGAGATGTCTGTGTGCGTCATGCGCTTATTAGCCATTTACATACGTATATAGTATAGCACGATGTTGTGGATTGCTTTCGCATGTTAATGCTTTGTTATTTATTCCCATTCCTTTTATCAAAGTTTCGCGCTATCGCCCAGCCAGCTCAGAAGCAGCCGCTCCCCAACTGAGAGCACGGAGAGTCCAGCTCTGGCCACTTGCTCCTCCGGATCGGGCTCCTGCTCCGGCTCCTCCTGCTCCCGCTCCCGCTCCGGCTGCCCCCGCTCCTTCCGCCCTCCGCCCGCCAAATCCAGATCCTGCTCCAAATGACGGACGGCGAACAGCAGGATGCGCTGGTCAAGCGGTCAGAGGACGAGCGCGAGGACATCTTCCGGCGCTACGAACTGGGCATGGACCCCAGCAATGTGGTGGACCCCTGGGAGAATCCCACCTTCGAGCTCTACCACAGGACTGACAAGTGAGAAGCCATCGCAGCCCTTTCCACTCCATAACCAATAACCATTACCCTCCACAGATATGGATTCCTGCACGATGACCGCCTGCCGGAGACGCGGGATGCTCAGGAGATGCAACGCACCAGGATCGAGATGGAGCGGGACAAAAAGTGGATGAAGATGCTCGGCCATTGGCCGCCGCCCCACGACAAGCTGCACAAGCGCGTCTACAAGGGCATACCGGATCGAGTGCGAAGGGTGGTCTGGCTGAAGCTGCTCAACATCCAGCAATCGATCGACAGCAATGCCGGCGTCTACTCCCGCATGCTGCAGCTTGCCAGGAAGTACTCCACGGAGACGCGACAGATCGATGCAGATGTGAATCGACAGTTCCGCGACAATCTTGCCTTTCGAGAGCGCTACAACGTGAAGCAGTGCTCGCTATTCAATGTGCTCAACGCCTACAGCATCTACAACTCGGAGCTGGGCTACTGCCAGGGCATGGCCTGTGTGGCCGGCGTGCTGCTGCTCTACTTGAACGAGGAGGAGGCCTTCTGGGCACTGAATAGCCTGATCACAGACCCAAAATACGGCATGCACGGGCTGTTCATTGAGGGCTTTCCCAAGCTGACGCGATTCATCGACCATCATGACCGCATCATGTCTAAAATAATGCGTAAACTACATAAGCACTTCACCAAACACAATGTTGACGCCCTGCTGTACGCCATCAAGTGGTTTTTTGTCGTCTTCGTCGAGCGGGTGAGTAAAAGCACAAGATGTATTCATAAAACAAATACATAATTAATTTATTTGCTTTGCAGGTTCCGTTCAGTTTGAGTTTGCGCGTGTGGGACATTTTTATGTTGGATGGAGATCGCGTTATTCTGTCCATGGCCATCAACATTCTGTATCTTCACAAGGACGAGCTGCTGCGCCTGAAGGACATGGACGCCATCATCGAGTACTTGCAAGTGAAGCTGCACAAGAACTTTGGCTACAGCGATGACGAGGCCATTCAGAGCCTGGAGCGAGTGATGAAGAAGCTGAAGGACCTCAAGCTGGACGTGCCGCCGCCAGCCAAGTCGAATGAGTTCCCCACCCGCAAACTCGGCGACTTTGTCGAGGCAGACATGGAGAAGAAGATCGGGCGCAGACGCAATGATTACACAGACGCGGAAAAGCAAGTCATAACAGATGTGATATCAAGGTGCGATCATGAGATTGTAAATGAAGTTATCTCGAATAATATATGTATGACTTGCAGACAAGAACAAAATGCGATTGAGGTGCAATCCACCGTATCCTACGAGACTTCCGAGTGCGCCACGGGTGAGTCATGAGTAACACACAAGTCCTTACACTGTTTATCTACTAATACTAATGCTTGCTTTAAACAACCCACTTACCCACCGACTGTAACTATAATCTGCAATTTTAATTGAAAATTCCTTCTTTATTTTGTATTGTGTGGTGCAAGTTTATCACAAATTGTGTGTATATATCATGTATATGTAAACAGAAACACGAGCAGTTCCCCAAAACGAACTTGAATTGGTGTTGCCTTAGCTGTAATCCTATGTACAAAGTCTTGTTTAGTTCTAGAATATGAAATGGCATATGTACTCTGTTTATTTGACTAGCGATGTATAGTTTTTCGTTTGAGCTTATGTTAAGATCGTAGCCACTTTCAGCGGGTCATCGTTGGCAGTCCAGCCCCAATGCGTCATCATCTCGCTGGCCGAAGCATTGAACTAATTGAATAATATGCTAATATTGAACTTTTGCACGCTGGCAAGGGCGGGAGAAGATAGCTCTGATCTGTGTAATGAAATGGTTTGGACACGAGAGTCGATTGTTAGTGGTTCTGGATGCAATACGAAATCTTAGACGTACCCCCTAGCTGTAACGGATCCAATGGGCACTAATTCTAACTGTATATGTAAAGTACTAGCTTTTAAGGGACAATAACCAAGGCAACCACAAAAACCAGTTCATGCTTATTAAATACGCCCCTCGACGTTCATGTAATCGGATGATCCATTTTGTAACCATTGTCTAACATTGTCCGCTGCGTGTACATATATCCGTTTCGATCACAAGCCACCGCTTCTACGTTTTCCCGGCAATCGGAGCTGCAAAAACCGAAATCAGATATGACCTAATCCGCAATCGCTTCTGTAATTCTGTTCCTAGGTGATGGATACTCAATGAAAACGTTTGAGAGTATCACTAGCTTAGCCACCTCGCCGGCGAATAGTAGCTACTCGCTGTACAGCAACGGATTTGTGGTGACCACTATCGATAGTGCCCAAGACCCCGCCCGCAGCCAGAGTATCCACAATCTCAGCTACCTGCAGCCTCACCCGGCACTGCCCAATGGGCTGCACCACATGCGGCACAGCTTCAGCAGCGATAGCGACAGTCGCAATCGCCTCGATCTGGATCAGGCTCTGGAGGTGCTCCAGCGACAGCAGCTGCCCCTGCATCCGAAGACCCCCAGCAGCCAGGTGGTGTATATCATGCAAAACGGAGGCGGAGGTGGAGGCAGGCCCATGGACGGGCATCGGGAAGCGGCGGATGACGACGACGACGATGATGCGCTGAGCGTGGAGAACACGCGCCTCTAATTTTAGTTGATTCGTAATGCGTAATCCTTTTTTATGTAGTTAATGTCTTGCTTCCTTGGTTTGTAAAACGCATATGCCAATAACGATTCCCAAAAAGGAAACCCCGAACATTCGCTAGTAATATCCCCAAAACGTACTTAGCTTTAATTTTTGTATTGTCGAACCGACGGGAAACTTGAATTGTTGTTCAGTTGCTAGCAATTATCGATGTTTATACATATTTCTTTCTTATCCTCTCACTCTCCGATATTACCTAACCGAGAGTCTCAACTTAATATTCCAAAAACTTATAACTCCTAAGACTCCAACGATTCCGTTTGAAACTACGTACAACGATTAATATTTATTGTTATCCACCTAACTACTTTTCCACACTTCTTTATACCCACTACTCTACTAACTACGTACTTTAAGTTTTGCTCTTGCATTTACTTTATATTTTCCTTGCGAAAGAAACTCAACTTTAGTTTATGTTAAAGCCAAAATGGTAGTTGTAATCTGATTAGCCAATAATTGTATGATTATACATATAGCGAAACGTACCACACAAATAAATATGATTTTGTACTGAATTGAACACACTCGCCAGCATGGTTGATTCCGCTGTCAGCATTATATATTATTGAACTGCCAGCAGCGTTTCCGTTTCCGGTTCAGAGCCCAGTATTAATACGAAGTATTCGATTCGATTTGCACCTCACAAACAACAACACTAACACCGCTAACCAAAATTTCACATTGCCACAATCACAACCACAACCGAAAACTAAATGCAATTTTCCAAAAACCAAACTTTTTTCCAACGCATTGGCAACACGACGAACTGGGATTGGTCAAAACCAAATCGAAAATATACGAAAATTTCGCAAACGTAAACCTAAAAACGCAATTTATTAGTTACGCTTACTGTTCCCGAGGATTCGCACTCAATACGAAGTTCGCTTGCAGGTACTTCAGTTGCCTCGCACGGCTCATCGGAAACCATGTCACTGGAGGACAATAAGTGAGTAGATGAGTCAGGTTCAGATTCAAAATATTGCAAAATATCTGCTTTAAACGATGAAGCTGCTGCAAATTCGGGTGCTGCATCGTTTTAGAGCTATTACTTGACTTTTACTTTTTCCAAGTATCCTAAGCTAACCCCTTTCAATACCATCCTCTTGCAGTATTCACCTGAGGACCGCCAACATGCTGCAGAACACTCCGCAGCGTGAGATGCTCCTGGGCACCTGACGTCAGCTGCCGCCTGCGTCCTCCACGGCGCCGGCAGCTGCAGAGAATCGCCACACGCTCACCACAGCCACCTCTACGGGCCTAGCAGTAGCCGGAGCATCGGGAGTTAGCCCCACATCTTCGCCCAGAGCCACGCCCACACCGCCGCCCGTGCCGCCGAGATCTCCGCTCGCGCTGGGATGACTAGCAAAGCAAAAGGCGGCGGCGAACCGGAGTGGGATCACCTAGTTCCTGGTGCTCGCCGCCGTCTGCCTTTGCTTAGCCTTAAGTCTTGTAGCCCTGCCACCGCTGAAACCACTAGAACTAGGACTTCCTTAGGAGCAGCATTAGCAAGCATTGGGCTTCGAGGGTCTGGAGTCACACACTTTGTACATACGCCGCGGGAAGCTTGGGGCCCGACTTGGTAGTGAAACCCGAATCTGGGATTAGATGCGCCAAATTAAATTTACAACAGTTACGAGTTAAACAATTGATAAAAGCAATCGAGAATTACATACACAAAATGCTAATGGAACAATATTTAAGCAAGAGCAAATCGTATCTAATACACCTACAAAGCGGTTAGAAGTCTATTTAATTGCATATTGAATTCAACTCAAACATATATTATAGAAATTGTTGTAAATTGTACTTGTATATACGTACCGAACAAAATACAAAGCAACGTTAAAAAGTTACGTCCATGAAATGCAAACGAATGTAAAGGCGAAAGGCAACCAAATATTAATTGAAAGCTATAGATAACAGAATCGAATGATTACGCTAGATTTATGTATAGTTATACCAGCATAGCAGTACACGACCAGAACAAACTGACAAATGAATTGAGTATTTATAATAATAATTTCATGATTAACCTTTACACGAACATGAATCACTAGTTTAAGTTTCTCAGCAAAGGAATTATGTTTATTTAAGTTAAAATTATTTTCAAGAGCGTTTCAAAATAAAACTGTCAACTGAAGCTAAGCTAATCCCCCGCCTTGGTGTCCAGCTTGCCGCCCTTTTCTATGACGGAGCCCAGATCCTTGAGGGACACCTCCCCGGTTCCTCGTTCCAGTGGCTGTGGTTGGTTGGGACCTGGTTTCCAGCCCACAAAGTAGATGATTTGAAAGGTGGCTGGTATGCCCTTCTCGTTGGGCTTCGCATACAGCTCCTGGTAGATGGCACTGGCCGCCAGCATCGTCTCCCGACTGAGATGGACCGGCCGATTGAAAGCCGCATTGTTCTCCGCCATGCCCTTGAGATCCCACATTAGTTCGAACATGCTGGGATACCCGATGACCAGTTCATCGGTGTCGATGGTCAGCATGGTGAAGCCGGCGCGATTTAGCAGGGACCCAATATCCCGGATCTGCGTGAAGGGCGAGATGTGCGGGGATATGCCACCCTTGCGTTCCAGCTCGGCTAGTTGTAGCGAGGAACGCAGCTCGTACAGCGTGTCTCCGCCAAACATGGAGGCTATGAACACGCCATCCGGTTTCAGACTGCGCTTGATCCTGGCAAAGCAACCGGGCAGATCGTTGACCCAGTGCAGACTCAAGCTGGAGATGACTAGATCCAGGGAGTTGTCCTCAAACTAAAAGCGATTCTCGTTTAAACTTGTTACTTGAGGCTAAGTAGCCTAATTACCCACATCCAGATCCTCCTCATCCTTGACTAGCTTCGACATTTTGAGACCTGGAGTGCCCTGCGCCTGCTCCAACATCGAGGCACTGGTGTCCGTGAGTGTTAGATGCTCCACGCTCTCGGCCAGGATGTGCTGGGAGAGGTAGCCACGACTGCATCCTATGTCCGCCGCAGCCTTGAACTCCCGCTTGATGTCGAACACTCTGTCTGCCAGGCGGAAGCCCACCTCCTCCTTGAGGTAATCGTACAATCCTACATCTTCGCTGTGGGAGGAGATGATGGTTTAAATGGGTTCTTTGCTCTTATATGAGAAAAACTAACCTGAGGGCTGCCCGTTCCTTTTGCAATCTCTTGGCATTCCGATCGAATATGTGCTGCGGGGTTTGGCTTAGCGAGGAGAGGGGACGCAGCTCACATCTGACCTTTAAAGTCGATAGTTTAGTTAATTTTCGTAGCATTATCCCGCTTCGGATTATAGCAATGCTGTAATAAACACCCGGCTGTGGATCAAATGAAAATATTGTGTTGATTTATTGTGCGCGCCGACGAATGTATACCCTACCATTTTTTTACTGGATATTTCTGTTCTTAAAGTTATGGATTACAATACAATACAATATAATATGTCAGAGCATAAAAATTATACAATTTATTTTTATTTCTTTTTTGACAGCTTTCAATTTTATGTTTTTATTAATGTTAATAATAAATATAAATTTTGCTGGAAAACATTGATTTGCAACTAAAATATTTTAACTTATTAAAATATTCAAGAAACTATATATTTTTTGTAACAAAAATCGATAACATAATTAAATGTTACATATGAGGTCTCAAAGTAAACATTCTTATAACATATTAGTGTAGGGTATATAGAGAACAGCTGATTGAACAGTGTTGGAAGCGAACGAAACCAAAACAGCAGCACAGCGCCGTTGTCCAGCACTGTAGGCAGTGTTTTCTTTTGGCGCCAAAAGTGGCGGAGATCACCGCGAATTAATAATTCTATTAACATTAACATTCAATAAAATCATGAGCTTCTCGCGCAGTGCCCTGCGCTATGCGCACACCAATGGCTACACGGGACTCCTGTACACCCCGCGCGGCGAGTTCATCATCACGTGCGGCACAGATGGAGACATCCGTCACTGGACTTGCATCAGCGACGATGATCCACGGTCCAGCTGCCTGGGCGAATTCGTCATGTGCATCGCCCACACGGGCACCCGACTCCTAGCCTCCACAGATCGCAACACGGTGCATGCCTACACCTTTCCGGAGATGGACAGCGATGGCATCCTCATGCGGTTCACAGCTCCGGCAACGTGCCTCAAGGTTTCTGGGGCCTACACTGCTGCCGGCAGCGAGGATACCACCATTAAGGTGCTCAAGGGAGAGGCAGCTGGCAACGAAACCGTTCTGGAGGGGCACACGGGTCCTGTTCTGGCCCTGGATATGTTTGTGGAGCGAAAACTGCTCGTCTCCGTGGCTGGAGATGGCCAACTAAAGGTCTGGAACTTTGAGGAGGGCAAGGAGCTGAAGACCATTGGTGGTCTGCCCAAGGTGAACAGTTTCGAGAGCGCCATGCTCTATGGTACACCCCATTTCGAGCCGCAGAGCGGCGAACTCTTGGCCTACGCCGCGGACAACGAGATTGTGGTTCTCAACACGGCCAACTGGGAGGTGGCCTTCAAACTGCGTGATGACTCGGTGTCAAGCAACTACAGTTGCTGCCAGTTCTCGCCAAATGGTGAACGCCTGGCCGCCGGCACAACCAAAGGCGAGGTGAGCATCTTCGACGTGAAGAAGCGGAAGGCCGTAGCAGTGGAGATGCCGCCGAACGACTGCAATGCCATAACATGCCTGGCCTGGAATCGTTCTGGGGAGGAGGAGGTGGCCTTCTGCGATGCCACTGGACAGCTGGGGACCGTCTTCCTCAGCGATCCAGAAGAGGCTGGCGGCGGCGATGGAATAGAGGATGACCAGGCCGAGCTGTTGGGCGATGACTATGTGTTCGAAGGTGGCGATGATTTGGAAGCCGCAGCGGACGACGGCGATGGCGTTAGTCTGGAGCAGCTAAAACGTAAGGTGATGAACTTTGCAGATCCAGTGGACCACGATGATGCCTCCAACCAATCCCTGGCTAGCAGCAGCAGAACTGTTCCTGCTCCCGCCGTTCCGCAAATCAAGCTCTTCAAGCAGCAGACCGCCTTTCAGCCCAGTGCCACGCCCAGCGATCTGGAGCATCGCTACATGGCCTGGAATGATGTGGGTATCGTCACTGCCCATGTAGAGCCCTCAGGCGATGGCTCCATCGATGTGGAGTTCCATGACGCTAGTATCCACCATGCCCTGCACATCAGCAACTACAACCAACACAATTTGGCCAGCGTGAGTAGTGGAGCCTTGGCCCTGGCGTCCAACGAGTCCAGCAAGCTGGTGGTGATTGCTTTGGCCGCCGCCGGGAACAAGGAGTGGTCGCTTAGCCTGCCGGACTGCGAAAGTGTGGAGGCCCTGGTGGCCACCAGTCATCTTGTGGCCGTGGCCACCAGCTCGAGTTTTTTGCGCATCTTCAGTGTGATGGGCACACAGCGTGAGGTGCTCACCATTCCGGGTCCAGTGGTGGCTCTCTCTGGACACGAACACAGCCTGATGGTGGTTTACCACAGTTCTGCACCCAGCCAAACTCAGCAGCATCTCTCCGCGATGTTGGTTAACATAAATGGACTTAGTTTGCGCCAGGAATATCTGCCCGTTCCACTGACTCCGGGCAGACAGCTCGCCTGGCTGGGCTACAGCGACACGGGATCACCGAGCATCGGCGACAACATGGGTCTCCTCCAATTGTACCGCAAGAGCAGCAACGCCTGGTTCCCCATCTGCGACACCATGAAGCAGAGCAGCAGTGTGTCGCACCACTTTTTCGTTGTAGCTGTTTCCGAGCGTCGTCAGATAGTCCAGGCTGTCTTATGCCGTGGAACCTCCTACCCCATGACGAATCCCCGACCCATGGTCCAGGAACTGCGTATGCAAATTCCGTTGTGCGACATCGAAGTGGAGAAATCCGAGCTGGAGGATGCCCTGCTGCGCTCCAGTCTGATGCAAGTGGATGGCGCGGAGAAGATGCAGAAGGAGACAGCCATCAAGCTGTTTGCTCTGGCCTGCAGCAGCGAGTGCGAGACAAGGGCTAGGGAGTTGATAGAATCGATCGCCTGCACTGATCTGCTCCAGCTGGCTGTAAAATATGCCACTAAACGAGGGCGCATCCACCTGTCCGATCGCCTGTGCGAATTGCTGCCTCAATTAGAGGCTGTCCAGGAGGCTCGCAAGCAGCAAACTTTGTTGGGCGCCAGCGGAATTGCTGCCACCATAGTCCTGCCCATGACTCCCACATCCGCCTCTCAAAGTGGTCCCAAACCCAAGGCCATCGAGCTGAACTCAGCCAAACGGGGCACCCTGAAGAGATTGGCCAACTCACCCAATATATTCAAAGCTGCGTCGGCGGCATCTCGTCCTTCGACTCCGGACATTACACCCTCTCCGCTGGATACCCAGGAGAATATATTCGGCGAATCCGAGTCAGAGGTTCCCATGGGTAAAACCGCAGAGCACAGGACTCCCCTAAATTCGGTAAATCCGTTCGCAATGAAGCGCAAACTGAACGACACGGGAGTGATCTTTGGTTCCGAGAAGCTGAAGCTGGCTAAGAAATAGTTTATTTGTAGATTGTCAAGTAGGTTTAAGGTATATATTTTAAATATTAAATAATCATCTTGGTAGCTGCAGAAGGATATTCGCGCTGCATTATCGAACAATATAACTTACTGTTTTCTTTCCATACATTTTCTGTTTGATCGAACATTTATTTTGTCACATATTTAGAAATAAAAGTTATAAAAAATCAACAAAATTTCAAAACGTAGTGTATAGTGTTATGATAATAAATCATTATACAAATATTTACAACAAAATAAAAAGGCCCTTGTTCTTATTTAATTCATTTAACGTGTACAAATTTTAGATATGCGAAATAAAATAAATTGTCTTACACCATTCTTAAATTATCTTTCTTTTGTATAAATATTTTAGAATTGTTCTCAGTTTGATAAACTTAAAAATGCTCGTCCACAATGGTTTACATTACTTCGGAGCATTAGGTATAAAACCATTTTAAATTCAACGGTTCAGCAAAAGAGAATACCCCAACTGGTCTCACCATTCGGTATTTTAAAAACAATACCAATAATACCAAATCTGCACATCGATGATCGCGATCTTCGTCGTACTATCGAAATGAACTCCAAACAGGGGACTTTCCACGAATTTAAAGTCAAAGTCATGTGTTCGTTTAGTTTGATTTTATAAAAAAGTGTTACACGCTCAAATTCCAATACAAAAACACACACGAACACACACAGGAATTAAACATTTAAAAGGTTAGGAGAGGCGCCAGATCTAAACAAAAACGAAAAACAATAGATAATAAAACAAAATTTAAAGTGATATGTAAGTATGGCGGCAGCGAATGTTCCGTTTCCTTTGTTTACAAATTTCCAGTATTGGAATTTCCAGTGAAATGATCTCCGTTATTTCGAAAAGCTAACTGCTGCAAGGGCTCTCTAACACACAAACACAGGGGCGTCGTTGGGGGTTTTTAAATTCTTAAAAAGGGGTTTTGGTAAAACCAACTTGAATTAATTTACTTTGATATAATGCCTAAAAACTCTTATTATTATATGTGTGTTTTCAAAAAAACAATCAATCAAAAACCCCCAGCGTACCCTCTTCGTAAGCCCCTGCACTTCTATATAAAAAGACGCTGGCGCATCATTCGTGACATTCGTTAACTGAACGTAGCGCCGTGCACTTCGATCGTTAGTCAGCTGCAATACTTTACGTTATACTTATACTATATAGTCCATATCTGTCTGTTTGTGTCTTTGTCTGTGGCTTTGTGTTCGCGAATAACTAACTTTTAATTGCGATCGTACTACAGGAAACAGAAACATTCCGCATAACGATTATCGATCCTAGCCTTTGTGTGACTGAGTGCATAAGAAACATCCAAAAAAAAAGACCAAGAAAAAACTTCTAGCCAAAATGACAAAAAATAAAAATCAAAAAAAGAAGGCGGCCGCTGCAAAGAATAACAACAAAAACAATGATACCGGTACTCTGCCCGAAATCTTGACACCCCCGGCAACGCCGCCGACGAACAACGGCGTCAAAGCCCCCGTACCCCCCGGTACCTACGCCAATGGAATGCCTCGGAAGCCCCTGGTGCCGTGGGGTAAGCTATATACTATATAGATTCTGTTTGCAATCCCAACAACAATCCCAACTTTACCGGCTACAGAGCGCGAGTTCATCGGAACTTTTCTCCTGGAAATGGCCGTTCGACAGGTGATCAGTGCCCAGACCGAGTGGTATGTGGATAAGACCAAGTTGCGTCAGATGTTTGATGCCCACTTGGGAGGCCTCCCCAATAGCACCGAAGTGCGCCTAAAGCTCTCCATTCAGGGAGCCTGGAATGTGAGTACCAAGAATGATAATATATTATCATCTTTTTCGTTTCCTTCGTCCAGTTACATATACAGTGAACACTCTCATATGAACCCCCGGAGCTTCTTATCTTGCATTTCTAGACTGATTTGATTAGTTAACAAAAGTTGTTCTAAAGTATATTTTTAATTTATAAATTAAAAATCGTTATATTTAAAATTGCATTTCCTCTATCACATTGATAAAAAAAGTAACTATTTTCCGTATCGAGAGTACTAGAGTTTCAAGAAAATATTTTAGAGGTTACCCAAATAAAAATTGTTGGTTGACCATATGAAGTGTGTACTGTCCAAACATTAATATGTACTTATTTCTATACTAATTGCATGACAAAGACCAAATATACGCGCTTTTGGTTCGTATGTATGTACCAGTATTTTTTCTATTAACATAAAATCCATTTGTTTGCAAACTTTAATTAACTCGAAATAGTTTTAAAATTGTTTTCGTACCCAAAAAGATAATTATTTCAAGCACTTTTGTTCCGAACATTGCTTACATATATTGGTTCAAACAAAATATAAATATTTCTCGGAATAGACATCTAGAACGCTTACACCCATACTGATTCGCTAACCCACCCGCGATAAGAGTGTATTTTGCATCGCTTTCCTTTGTTTTTTGCCAGCCCAAACATTCGCTTCGTATTATCAACACAACTCACAAACACCTTCACATCCGATCGACGCTATGTCTAAGTAGACTGGCGTCTAATAACACGCTCGAACACATGAGTCATTCCGTTTCGGGTTTGCCCCACCGGATTCATCTTTCGGTGGTCAAAATTCGTATACCCTATAACCTTTCTATAAATTGACTTCATTTGGGAAAACGAAACTTGCTAAAAATCTTTGCTAAGCATTATCTTTTTTTAAAATAGACCCCAAATGTCCGAGGCTAACAGGATATGACAAGAAGTCTTCAAGTGGGTTTGCTGATACTGCAATAATGTGATTAGACCTTTTATTTAACCATTTGGTGGTAAACGTCATACAAGTTAAATGGGTAAACACAGGGTTACTACTTGTATCGGGGAGTCCCAGGCTGATTGCAGCGTTTTGAGTGTATAGGTTACGATCTGTACTGGTAATTAAATACTGGTTGTTAGGTAAAACAACCCATGTGTTAAATTTATAAAATTGTTCAAGTCTGTTTGGAAACCAAGGCACTGGGCACATTTTTATAGCATTGGGTTTTGTAATTTACCCCTTAAATTATATGTACATTCTTGATCAGCATCAGAAGACAGTCGATATACTGTTTGTTTCAATACTGTTTGCGAGCTCAGTTTAAAAGCTAGCGTATTAAAACGTAAAAGCGGTTGCCGATTGGACGACTATATCATAGCAGCAATAGGTTAAAACATGCCGATTTTTACAGTTTTTTTAAAAATAAATTTAAGTAGCTTTAACGTTAACGACATGAATCTGAAAAATCGAAATTTGTATATACCCTGATCAGGACAAAAAATGTGTACGACCTGGCGACTTTCCTGTATTTACCATTGAAACAATATGGTGAAAAAGGTTCAAATTTAATGGGTTTCAAGATATTTGCCTAAAATCCGTTGTTAATTGTTTAATATTATATATGTATACTGTTCTAGTCACATTTTAATTCATTCTTCAAGGGTACCAAAACTTCGGCTTGGCAAAGTTACATTTTCTTTAAAGAATACCATAAAAACCCAAAAGATAAATTAGAATATTAAAGTTTGGAGTAGATGAAAGCGATTCAGAGAAAAGCCAAAAAGAATCATACCAAAAACAATTTATATGAAAGATTATTAAAGTTAACACCAGCAAACGTCAATTCCTTATGAAAAATAAAACCAAATTTATTGCTGGGCAAAGGGACCGAAAAGAAATTCGATAAACATTGGGATACAAACAAATATTCGGATATGGTTTAAGTGGCTTCTACTCAATTGACACGCTTCTTTATACAAACAAAAAAATGTACATACATAAGTACCGAGATCCTATTTCAACACATTAGTAGGGACTTTTCGCTGTTGGGGGAGGCACTTGAAATCATTACAAATAGTTCAACTTAAGTTTATGATTTTAGGTCAAACATAACAATTCTATAAATGCCTTGACATTTATGAATCTTAAAATTTTATGCTATACCATTTTATACAGGCTGTACTATTTGAAAGTGCAAGGGTAACAGCGATAATCCGTTCGGATTTCCCTGTCGGATTTTACATTTTATGCGGCATGTGTATGCCTTTCTGAAAACCATATTAGGGAAAACACAAAGCATAACATCTGTTAAAGTTATAAAAATCAATTCATGTGATTCCCCGTTTTCCTCTGCAAAAAAGAATGCCCTCTTGATATAGGCTTAAGTAGACTCAAATTACGCTGTTGTAGATTGTTGGCCATACAGATATCGCGAGAATTCAGGCGATAATGAGACTATCAATAACTGAACTGGGTGGGTGGTTTACGTAAACAAAAACAATTGAAATAAAATGCAACGTTTCGCTTCTGTTCCGATATCCACAGATTGGAGCACTGCTGCATAGGACCAACTTTCTGATCAACACGCCGCGCGGAAATAATAACTATCGCATCAAGAGCTTCTCCTTGATGGACTTTCGCAAGGAGAAGTTCAATTTGCTCGATGAACAGCACCGTTTGCGGGATGCCATTGCCAGGCCCATCATTCCCGGAGCTCCTGTGGAGGGCGACAAACCCATAACCGAAGGTAGTCTATCTATAATTTAAAAAAGTTCCTAACTGCATGAGAGTTTTGTTGGCAGAATATAAACTCGATACGCAGGCAACGGCTACGCTTCTGAAATACCAAAAGACGCAAGTGCAGAAACCGGACAAAGATTTCGAGCTAACCTCACTGGGTTGCTATATCTGCCAGGTGAATTTCGAGACAATTGAGAAGTATGAGGAGCATGTGGAGTACCATGGCGACGAATCCGATTTCAAGTCCCTCGAAAAGATGGAGAAGTTGTAAGTTTCAATGGTTTCATATAGCATGGTTACGAACCTTGAAGATTCGTTAAATGTTTAAATTAAGAAAAAAGACATTCTATTCTTATCAATTCAGTCTACCTGCATCTGCTGTTTGTATAATAGAATTTTGTTATTTCTTATTGTAAAATTTTCAAAATTATCGGTGGCCAATAAGCCATTCCCATGAGTAACTCAAAGCAATTGTATAATATATTATATTAATATATATGGGTACATGTATATAAACGTCTTAGATAAGGAAAGTTTTGTAGGGAATTTCAAACTGATTGTGAATTAAGAAGCTTTTTTAAACGACATGGTCATATTACCTTCCCCACAGCTCTTCGCCCAGGCTGACACTCTCCTATCAGACCTGCGTGGACAGTCACTACTTTGGATTCACTTTGAAGACCGACCTCAAGGATTTGGTGGTGAACAAGTTCATCATAGTGCAGTCGCGGCAATTCTACTACGTGTATAACCCGCAAATGCCACTAGATGTTCCGGCCAGCGGGGAGCTTGTCTTCTTCGTGGACTCGCACGTCTTCATGATCCTCCGGGAGCAGCCCATCGTGATCGGGTTCACCAGCCAGGGGCAGAGGTTTGTGGAGCAGCACCACTTCATGCGAACGGAGGCGCTGCCCAAGGCGAGCTTCAACATCAATCCGTACAGGCTGTCCAACAACGAGACCTTCAAGAGCAAAGGTCTTCCGCCAGCCAATCCGCCCACCCAGGTGGTCAGTGCCCTGAAGCACGAGGACGCTCAGGTGAGGTTGGCGGACTTTGACAAGCACTATCGCAACTACTGTGAGTTGGGCAGGAAGATCACCCAGGAGAATCTCTGCGGAACATTGCGCACTTTGCTCCAGGTGGAGGACATCGAACGGCTGCAGCATTATTTGGACCTTAAGCAAACCAAAATGGAGCTGCATCAGTTCGGACGAGAGCTCTCGGTGAAGGTGCGCCTGGCTACCAATAATTTGAGCGTGGAGGATGTACTCTCCCCTGGCGACGATGTGCTAATCATTAACGAGAAGGGTAATCCGGATTCGGGTGTACGCCAGCTGTTGGATAACAAAAACCAAGTGCTGGAACTGGCACTCAAGGATTTCGATTCCATCTTGCAGTGGGCCCGAAGTGTGGACGAGAAGTTTGGACGGCTGGACAAGCAACCGCGTGTTTACTTTGCCCGCATCCTTGGTGTCTCCACGCAGCGGGTGAATATCACGTGTGAGCGCCAGTTGCCAGACAACACCACCTACACCCTGATCTTCCGTCCTCTGCGGGCAGTGATGCGCTATCAGTACCGGGCACTCCAGCAGTTGTCCCTCACCAGGGCCATCGATGTGCAGCGGATCCTTTTTCCCGGTGAAATACCACGCCAGTCGATTGCACGTGGCGCCTTGGAGCTGAACAACCGGCGCATATCCAGTAATCCTGAGCAGATGCAAGCGGTTCAACAGATAGCGCTGAGCCATAAGCTACCGGCTCCGTACATAGTTTTTGGACCACCGGGAACCGGCAAGACGGCAACCATTTGCGAAGCCATTTACCAGTTGTATGTGCGTCGACCGGAAACGCATATCCTGGTGCTAGCTGGTTCTAATACGGCATGCGACGAGGTGGCGCTCCGACTTCTAAAGGCCATCGCTAAGGCTCCGGAGAGCCAGCCTCGACCGCTCACCCGTATCTTTTCCGCCAGCTGCGATCGGCGCATCGACAATATCGACGATCTGCTGTTGGAGTACTCCAACATGTACGCCCTGCACTTTTATCCGGCCGTCCAGGCGGTGCATCAGTATCGGATTGTCGTCTGCACTCTCAGTTTGGCCGGTAAGCTGTCGACCGGAGGATTCGCCCAGGGGGACGTGTTCTCGCATGTTTTTGTGGACGAGGCTGCCGCTTCCACGGAGGCGGAGGTTTTGATGGGCATCACCTGCACCTTATCGCCGACATCGAATCTGATCCTATCCGGGGATCACAAGCAGCTAGGACCGGTGCTGCAGTCGCAGAGGGCCAACGAGTGGGGTCTGGGCCAGTCGCTATTCGAGAGACTGATGCAGAGGAAGTGCTATCAAGTGGACGAGGATGGCAGCTACAATCCGGCTGTGCAGACTCGTCTCATCCGCAACTACCGCTCCCATCCGGAGATCGTTTCGCTTTATAACGAGCTCTACTACGGCGGAAAACTACGGGCACACGCACCCATGGGTTAGTTGTTGCACTCAAAATATTCCTAGATCATTACATAATATGTTTTATTTTCAAGAGAGTGTATGCCGTTTTCAAAACTGGTTTCACATGCCCAATTCTGACTTTCCTATCATGTTCCATTCGGTATTTGGCACTACAATGAACACCAAAAGCTCTGTGAGGTGAGTGGTTAAAATGAGTATTAAAATAGGAGATGTTATCTATCAAATTTCTTAAATCAATATCATCAATATAATAATATTAGAAATAATCATTATGTGACTACATTCGTATTCATATTAAATACCTACTCCTTTTTGACAGCCTATGCAACAATAAGGAGATCGATGCTGTTATGGATTATGTCAAGGACCTTATGTACTTCGGTCTCAATGGTGAGAAGGTGTCGCAGACGGATATTGGAATCATATCACCGTACAAGAACCAGTACCAACGCATCCAGGAGCAGTTGGACATGCGCAATTGGTCGCAGATAGATTGCGGATCTGTTGAGCTTTTTCAGGGCAAGGAGAAGCAGGTGATCATAGTGTCATTCGTGCGCTCCTTTACTCCCAAGCTGGGCTTCTTGAACAATGAACGGGTAAGTGTGCATAAGAAAAATTAAGGGGAGAAAACGGGAAAGACAGAAAATAAAGCATCCATTGAAATAATAATATTTTGACCACTTAGCGTCTGAATGTCCTGCTCTCGCGTCCGATGTCACTGCTTATTCTCATTGGGAATCCACGAACGCTTAGTCAAAACAATGATTTCCGGCGCATAATTGAGATGTGTCGAGATCGCAAGACACTTGTTGGATGCCCGTACTATCGCGAGGATGTGAATCCGAATAAGCAGAACGGGCAGCACAACGGCCATGGAGGCCCAGCTGTGGAGCAGCCTGCATCTGGTCTGGGACAACCCCTAAAGCGAAGTAAAACTCCCAACCAATTTCAATATCGCCAGAGAAACATAAATCGTGATCAAAGAAATACATTTGAGTAACAGCCAATGTCTATGACTCTGCTCCTATTGCATAATAAATCGGCAGATACGGTCATAGTTCTTTAATCACCGATTGCTTGTTTCTCTGGCGCAGTTTGTCCAAAGATATTTGAAATCTCTAACCCGAATCTTTTCCCAATCAGCTGCCAACACAAAGAATCCAGCTCAGGCCGTTCGTCTTTTTTACAATAAGGAGGAACTGCTTAAGCTGGGCATTGAGTGCAAGCCTCAGAAATCGGAGCTGGACAAAATATTTGATGAGTTGCCGAAAGTTCCTCGCTATGTGGATCACAATTCGGATGCAGTTCGTTCAATAGAGGCTCAACTAAAGGATTTAAAATTGGAAAATACGGAGAAAGCCCCAGGTGTTTCGGATTCAGTTGCAAAGACAGTTACTCCTGCTCCACAATCTGCTGTTGCACCAAAACATGCTCCTCAACCTGCCTTTGCAGCCAAGCCTTTGACACAACATGCTGTTGCACCCAAGCCTTTTACACAACCTGCTGTTGCACCAAGGCCTGCTCCACAGCCTGTTGTTGCACCAAGGGCTGCTCCACAGCCCGCTGTTGCACCAATACCATCTGGCCGGTCTTCTGAATCCCAGATTCCTTCATCTTCCAGACGTCCGGTAGTCAAGACATCCGAACCCTTGGTTATTCCGACTTTCAAACGACCGGAACACAAGGTGCCAGATCCTCTTTCCATACCGCCATATCGTTCGCAAAAATATATTAACGGAGTGCCATGTGGCATTGAATTGCCCAGCGCTCCGCCATTGTCGCCGCCAAAGACCAGGTCCTCGACTTACAGCCACATTCCGAGTGGCAACCTACGGTTCGAGAATATGCGTCGCACGCCCGAGGAGTACCATCGTCAGCCGCCCTTCAACGAGCAGCGCCGTGCGCCGCCTTTCCACGAGCCGCACGGTAACTGGAACAATTTCGGCTGGTCGCCGCCACGATCTCCTCCAACGCCACCACCGAAGGAAAAGAAGTCGAATTGCGTCATTTCATAATTGTAGCTTCTGTAAAGGCTACTTCATATCTATGGGGACAGTGCGGTTGCTTGGCATAACAAGTGACCGTGTGGTCCTCTTTTTGACTTTGCTATTGGCAATTGTGCGATCTGCGATCATCCATGCGCCAAGTAGCAATACAACTTACCAAATAGATTTGCACCTGATGTGCGTCCACTGGAAAAGCAGGTCCAGAAGATTGGTTTACCCTGAACCAAAAAGGCTAACCCAATCTTCTGTTCTGCCTTTTCCGTTGGGTCGCATCATTTGCGAATGTAATTGATTCGAGAAAAGACATGGAGCTCTCAAAGTGAACACTTTTCGGTTGTACCACCCCAAGGTTTTTGATTTATGCTATGGAAGCGATTCCTTAGTATAAGCCGCAAATCTTGTGTGCGATTCAGTCTTCAGGTTTGACTTTGGGTGTTTTAAAATATATAATAATTAACTCAGAAGGGGGATCGATATAATACTAAATGTATCCCCCACAAAAATAAATATGTAAACCGGACCATTGAATTTCTGTAACCGTTCCATATCTATGTAAGACTATAAGGACTTTTTAAAATAAGTGCCATTCCTTTGTAATCTGTCCTTCCACGGAAGGAATCATACAAATTAAGGAACATTGCTAATGTGCTCCGCGGTTTATTTTTTTATCCAAATAATATGTTTCATTTAAATAAACAAACAAAAGTGTCTTAAAGCATTCCAATTTTTGATTTTTTAAAGTGCCTACGGAATAAAACGATTGTTGGTCAAAGCTATTGGTGTCTGATCTTATCAGATTTTTAGAATAGGTTTAGCACCTGAAAGACTATTTTTTGGTTATGAGTAAAGGTCACTAAGGACAGCGGTACACACGAAACTGCTTAATCAACGTTTTTGACGTTTTATGAATGTGTAATATAACAGTGTTATTAATAATTGGCCAAGCCGCCGAGGATTTATAAGCAAATCAACGGCAATTTCAAATATGAACTAGGGTCCAGTGCAAACTTTTTCTTTGGTGAACCTAATCTTATTCTCTTATTACCCATTATTATAATTTATTCAATTGCGTCAAGCAACTCAATTTTTAAAATGAAACCATACATTTTTTACAATCTATTTTTGTTTAAGCGTTTAGTTATTTGTAGAGCTCATAAATAAATATGCATGATTTTTAAAAGAAATTTGAGTATAATTATTTCTGTTAAGGTGCTTTTCTGATTAAATGAAAACAGATCAGATCAAAATTATTTTTGTAATCTCTGGAATGTTTGGATTTTTTTTGGATCCCAGTAGGCCATTACAAGAGGTCCACTGTCAGGGGCTATCCACTCCATTGTTTGGATCATATATTTTTCGTTATCGCTTCCAACTAGTTCAAATAGTAAAATAAAAGGTTTAAAACTTACTAAAAATTACAGTGGATCCAACTTTGTGAGATTCAGAGAATTCGGCGGCGCATATACGGATATCCCCTAGGAAAATGAGTTCTTTTGGCAAAAGCAGTGGTCAGAATGCTGCAGTGGTGCCAACACCCCGAGGTCGAGGTGCCAACAGCAATGCTGGGGTCACAGTGCGTTCCAAGTTAGCGGCGCCTCTATCGACGCAGACGGCGGGAACACGCAGAGCTGTTCACGGCGGAGCGGGCGATGGAGGATCCGATGCGGCTTGGAAGCAGCCCGGTCGTCGGCTGGTCATGACTGGTCCACCTGCTCGGCTGGTCCAGCCCACTATAGCCTCGTCTTTGCGGGCCAACACCAACAGGCAGACGGTGAAGCAGCAGTTTGAGCAAGCAACTCTTGTGAAGGGCAGATCAGGAGGTCCACCGCCAAAGGGAACCGAACCGGAAGTCAAGAAGCCGCCCAAGCAGCGGGTAATGTCCGAAGCGGCCAAACAGGCGGCCCGAGCCCGTCTCTGGCCAAACAAACCGGCCGGCGGAGGCTTCAACTCGAATCTGCGCAAGGACAGACTTCCAGTTCCTCAGGAACCCAGTCCTTTGTCGGAATACGAGGCCATGCTGGAGGAGGCAGAGGCCAAAGAGGCGAAACCAAAAGAGCTTCTGGAGACGGGTATCCAGACGAACGAGGCGGAGATCCTTGACCATAAACTAGTCCTGGGCGGATTAAAGACTGTATGCCCCTCGGCTCACCTGGTCGATCAGATTGATCGGGAGAGGCGCGAGCTAAAGGCGAAAAAGGAGCGACAGTCGACGCGCAGGTTCGCAGCCCACGAGCAGCAGGAGGAACTGCATCTGGACGAGCTGAGGGAGTTCTCTCTACGGAATGCCGTGACCAAGCGGACGCCCAAGAAGCCACCGCCGATCCAGTATGCCCCCTATGACAACCAGTACCAGAACGTGTTTAAGTCAATGGACGATTTCTTCAGCCGCGTCCAGTCTTCCGTGCCCAAGTCGGAATCCGTGACCAACATCCAGGAGCGCATTAAGCGCAAGGAGCAGGAGCTGCTGAGCCTCTTCGACAACGTCGACCTAAACGAGTAAACACGAAACGGATCAAATTCACAGCCAATGATATTTCAAATTAATTGTGTCGTACTGGTAAATGAAAAGTTATTTTTAAAAAACAGTCTTTAGTTTCATCTGTTAACAAGATCATGCTTAGCTTGAGAACTTATATAGATTTTGAAGGTATTAATAAAGGACATTGACAGAAGACATATTTTTACGAGAAGGTAATTATACTCGTTACTCGTAGAGTAAAGGGGCATACTAGATTTGTCGGAAAGTATGTAACAGGTGAAAGAAAGCGTTTCCGACCCCATAATGTTTATATATTCTTGACCGAGGCCGTCGACTAAAGCGCTTTCTCTTGTTTTCTTAAATATTTCATAATACAACATTTGATTCGACGTTAAAATAGTTTTTTAATACATATATTAATGTAAGGTATTAATACAATATACCCCATTACTCTACGAGTAACGGGTATAAGAAAGGAAATCACCTTTGGTAGGCCGAAGTTGTTATGCTCTGCAGCTATAAGGAAAAGTCAATGTTAGTACCGCTCTTTTTAATTTTTATGGATTCTTGTAATTATTTTGTAATTCGGAAGTATAACAAAATATTTTATTTCCCAGACGAAAAGAGAAAACTATTAATGTCGGCGAAGCTATAATTTGGTTCGTATTAATTTCACAATATTTCTTCCGATCGGTTCTTTGGCAGCTTTATGATATAGTAGGCAGATTTTTTGTTTAATTTAATAATACGTTAATATGCCAAAGAGCACATAAGCTGTATTTTTTTCCATTATTTTTCCGATAATTCCTATGGGAGCTATACGATATAGTTCTCCGACTTGAGAAGGTTTCATCTCGAAAGCTTTTAAACTGAGAGACTGGTCCGCGTAGAAACTGATAGACGGGTGTACATGTCAAGATTGACTCGTCTAGTGATACTGATCAAGAATATGAATATATACATTATGGGGTCGGAAACGTCACCTTCACTGAAAACTACAACTATTAAAATGAATTTGCATCGTAAAAGGTGCAACCTCATTTTATGTTGCCATAAAGTCTGTAATCTGTAATCGGAAATTAAACCACGTGGAGGGAGCACACTTATTTGAACAACTATAGTCAGCGTGATTCTCCAGCAAGTACATAAAGGTAAGCAACAAGTACCGAGTCGTATTTAAATTGCGCTTAGCCAAGCAGCCGCAGAGTGCTTGACTAGCCAGGCCAGCAGCTGGCACTTTCTCTCAGGCCCGAAAGCGGGGTCAAAACGCTTTCCCAACGTGCGGTTCGCCAGTCAACGCTGGCACCTGATCGCGCGAGCAATGGAGAATACGCCTCTGAAGTTTCCCCACGAAATTCGTGATGTGGACGAGTCCACCAATGCGGAGCTGTTGGAGTACTTCCATGGTATGTTTATAGGTTCCAGAAATGCCTAGTAAGTTATCCTCCAAGCCTTATTTTTTGTTCAGGCGAGCGGACTGGCTTTGTTCAGGTCGGATCGGAGGGATACTTTTTTCCCCACAAGTTCAAGGGAGAGGCCGAAAAGTATTACAACTTTGAGGCTCGACCGGATGATGTTTGGATTGCCACGGTACCCAGATCGGGTACGACTTGGACGCAGGAGCTAATTTGGCTAGTGGCCAATGGACTAGATTTCGAGCAGGCCCAGCAACGACCGCTTACCGAACGCTTTCCTTTCTTTGAGTGAGTCCTTGTGGTGTGACTTGACCTTATGTTAGCGGAACTCCTTTCACAGGTTTCCGCTGTTTGTGCATCCCAAAGTCAAGCAGGAGCTGCAGGAGGAGAACAAAGACTCATCTGAAGCCTTAGAGTTTATTGAGAAAATTTCCCGACCGGGATACGAGGCTCTGAGCGAGTTGCCCCGCTCTCAACGGCGATTTATCAAAACGCATTTTCCTTTTTCTCTGATGCCGCCAAGTGTTCTGGAAAATAAATGCAAGGTGCGTGTATGAACGTAAAATATAGCTACCAAACTAATTTCCTTCTTAGGTGATCTATGTGGTTCGCGATCCCAAAGATGTGGCGGTTTCCTATTACTATTTGAACAGACTTTTCCGCACTCAGGGATACGTGGGAGATTTTGAGCGTTATTGGCGCTACTTTCAAGAAGGATTAAGTGAGTGTTCTTTTGCAATGTCTAGCATACCATCCATTATAATCATCTTTTCAGACCCGTGGCTCCCTTATTATAGTCATGTGAAGGAGGCTCGCCAGCATGCCCATCTTTCCAATGTGCTCTTTCTGCGCTACGAAGACATGTTGGTGGATCTGCCAGGCGCGGTTAACAGCATAGCCAACTTCCTAGAGTGCCCAGTGAAGCCGGAGTACCTAGATAGACTACTCGATCATTTGAGCATTAAAAGTTTTCGGGAGAACAAGTCAGTAAACATGCACGAAATGGCCTCCGTTGGAATCCTTAACAAAGGAGAAGCCGGATTCGTCCGCAGTGGCTCCAAAACCGCACATCAGCCACAACAGGAATTCGTCCAGAATCCCAAGCTTTTGAACAGCGCCAACGAATGGGTGGAACATAATGTTAAAAGCCTCAAGGCCATATAAAATACCTGACTTTGATGGCTAACTTTACTGGTGTTTTTGGTGTAAATTGAAACAGAACTATACTATGCTATGACTAACGTATTTGCACATTGAAACTATCCACACTGGCACTGGCGATCTGCTTGTGGACCTCGTTGACCTCCGCCTGGGTTAGCGTGCGCTCCATGTGGCGGTAAACGATGCGGAAGCAGACACTCGACTTGCCCGTCTTTGGGTGCTTGAACTTGTCGACCAAGCTGATCTGTAATTTAAATCTAAAGTTGTAAAGTAAGAAAGATTTAAAAAAGCTGTGACTCACCTGCTCCACCATATCACCAGCTACAGAACGAACCAGATCATAAAAGTCGTTGGGCGAGAAGCCGGCGTCCACTTCTATGTCCTCGGGCAACCAGAAGGACAAGTCGTTCGTGCACTGCGGATAGTGGGAGATGGGTTTGTACTTAGGCAGATTGTGCAGGTCCTTTTCGCTAAACTGCGACAAGAAGCCACTGTCGTTCGACCAGAATAGACGGATATCGGGTATATCGAACAGCACCATGGCCAGTCGCTCCAGACCAACGCCAAAGGCATAGCCAATCGACTGATGGACGCCAGATCGCTGCAGAATCTCGTGGCGCATGATGCCGCAGCCCAGCACCTCCAGCCAGTTGTCCTTGAAGTAGATCTCCAGCTCCCAAGAGGGCTGAGTGAACGGAAAATAGGTGTCCACCCACCGGTACTTGATGCGTGGCCCAAACAGATCCTTCGTCAGTCCCACCAGCACGTGCTTCATCTCGTGCTCCATCAGCTTGACAGCCTCCAGCGTGTGGCAGGGCTGCTTGGTCTGGTCCATGAATTTGGAGGAGGGCAGGATGAGCTTGGGATCGACCACCGAACCGGACCACGTCTCCTCGAACAGTTCGAGGCCGGGATTGCGCTCGAAGAGCTTGTCCTTGGTGACTAGACGCACGGCGTCCGCCTGATGAAACACTGGATAGTGGGTACTGTCGATCTCGTCCCGTCGATATACTTCGCCCACCACCAGAAAGTTGTCCAATCCGCCCGAGATCAGTTCCACCTGGTGGGCGGTGGTGTGGGCGCGCAGCAGTTGATGCTGATTGATGTAATAGCAGTCGGACTTCTGGCGACTCACATGATCGGCGGGTATCAGCAGATTGTCAAAGTTCTGCTGCACAGTGACCACCGGATTGAGATTGTCGTAGACGGAGAACAGCGGATTGCCTCTCTGGTTGCGATACGCTCCATAGAAGTAGTTGACGATCCGCTGGCGGATAATGGACAGCGGGTGGTCCGTCTGTAGGTGCTTGTTGGCTCCCAGGTAGGAGAGAATCTTGGGCGTAACATTCGTCCAGCCATCGGTGGCGTACGTGCTCCCATTGACCTCCAGCTGCGGTTGGGCCGAGGGCGACTTCTCCGGCGCCGCGCTGCTGGCCAGGCTTCGGGTGCACTTCACCCAGTGCCGAGTTCCCTGCACTCGAAGTGTCAACAGCATCTTGGAGGGATTTTATTGATTGGAACCAATAAATTATTTCATTTTATGTTATGAAAACTGAACCTATCGTTCTTCGATGTCAGACTTTATATCGATTATTAATGTATATCGATGATTGGTGGAAAACTTTCGTTCTTGGGTGTATCGATGAGACACTAGCTTACAAATTTAAACTTTTTTAAGAGTGCCAAGCACAGGTATTTTAACAGAAACTAAGAAATAAAATAAAATTAAATATATTCGTGACCAACATTTAAAAATTTTGATCTGCGCCAATTGTCTTCCGAGAATGTGATATGCAGAACCCACAATAGCATATTCTATTCATGCTCATGCTGGGTAAAATATTTAACAGATCAAGAATTTGTATAACTTAATACTTTTTTACTTCCGTGTACCTAAAATACCAACGTTTTTCCCTTACAATAATCTTCAAAAACGTGTAAAAATTATATAGTTTTTATTTATTTTTCTACAAACATCAACAGAATAGTTGTTCACCTATATCGTACATGATGGCAGAGTTACATGAATGCAATTAAATCTTTAGGACATGAGGTTGGGCTAAATTATTAAAGTTCCTTTTTGAGATGCTTGCGTTGGTATGGTTTTTTTTGTATATCATATCATATGAAGGCTGTGGCTAAAATACATCAGTTCTGGATTAGACCAGGGGATAGCTGGAGGCGCTGGCAATGCCGCACTGGTTGTCCTTGTTGCGCAGCATCTTGATGAATCCCTTATCGCCCCAGGTGGTGCCCCACGAGTTCTTCACCAGCCAATAATCCTCGCCAGTCTCTTCGGTGCCGAAACCAACAACCAGCACACCATGGTCCAGGTTCTGGGGATCGCACTGGGGCTCGTTGTAGACACCCTCCGAATAGAACTGGAAGGATTCGTGGGAGGCATCGATGGCAACGGAAACGGGTCCAATGGTGGCCACAGCCTCTGCCATCTTCTTCTCATCACCCTGAGGCACATCGGTGAATCCACGATCGGTGGCTCCGATTGTGCCCTTGTTGAAGTGGCAGGAATCATCGATGGCTTCATAGGGATACGACTTCTCGGTGTCAATACCTCCATTGTCCTTGATGTAACGGAAGGCGTTGTCCATGAGACCGCCGTTGCATCCGTTGTTGCCGTACTTGGTGGAGCAATCGACCAGGTTCTGCTCGGAGAGCGAGACCAGCACTCTAGTCTTGCGGTAATGCTGACCCTCCAGGGCTCCTGTGGTGGAGAAGGCCCAGCAGCTGCCGCAATGTCCCTGATCCTTGACGGCGGTCACAGCTCCCTTCTGGCGCCAGTCCACAGATTTGGGCAGGGTCACATGAGCCGGCGAGATGAAGGTGACACCCTTAAAGCTCTCATCGGCAGCGCTGGGGGTTAATTTTAATGTAGAGTAAGTGAACAGTTCTCGAGGGGAATACTTTATAGTCCACACTTACCGCAGCTCCTTGTGCAGAGTGTAGTTGAAGCCGTTCATCAGGGCACGGAATTCGTGGTGCAGCATATCGGCGTACTTGTTGACCGCCAGTTTGAAGCTCACCTTTCCCTCGGCAAATCGCTGGTTGTGCTTGGCAATCTTGTGCTTGTTCTCATTGAAGATCTTAAGGCGGAAGCGTTCCTCGGTTTCATCAAGGTAGTTCTTGCGGTGCTCAAGCTGCATATAAAAAAATACTCTTTTAGATAGTGCACTCTTATCAAAGGTAGACCTTCTTATCAACTAACTTTCATGTACTTGTTCTAAGATTAGATAGAACTTTTCAGACAAATTTTTTTGTATTTGAAGATCTTGTTTGAAAAAGCAAATCTTTTACGTAAACTGGATTTACGAACACGGAGGCAAAAGTTCTTAATCTCGAGATAACCTATCACATGCCCGTCAACCTGGCACGAGCGAATCGCTCTATAAGTTCGGCTACAGTAGCAAAGTCAATAAATCTAACATGGCCATAAAATAGTTTTAACGATTACCAAACATCAGGAACTTGGGAATGGTGTTAATGTTCTAGGTAGTAAACAAAGAAATACATTGCAGGTAAGAGAGTAAACGCCAGCATGAAGAAATGCGCTCTATCTCCCTGCAATGGTTCCCCGGACTAGAGACCTTCCTCTCCGGTCCAGGGTTGTTTGCCCGACCCGACCCGCATATTGACACAGCACGGAAATAGCAGCAAAACCGAACAAATGATAGCTACAAAGAGAATTGGAACGCCTAAGCTAGAAATCGACTCAGCTGCTATCCATTACATTCAGTAAATATTTCCGTTTTAAGGGGTGGGTTTTGAATATATCTCGAGTATATTATTCAATGGAAAGAGTCTTATTTATTCATGATATTCAAAACTCTAAATTGGTTTATTTATTAGTCAATAAATTATAAATTTAAGGGCCTAAGGTGTTAAAACATGAGCTTTCTTATTTGCCAATCGTCGACTTAGTTGCTATCCACTATTAAAAATATTTAAATTTCGAGTGGTGGGTTTTGAATATGTTTTGAATATATTATTCAATGGACTGACTCTTTGTTATTCATGATATTCAAAACTCTGAGTTGGTAAGAGATCCAACAGATTTATTTGTCAAAATAAGCCTAAGCTGTTAAAACATTTGCTTTCTTATATATCAATCCTCGAACAGAACGTAAACTTATTATTTCTTTGCACGAAGTATTTTAATTTAGAATGTATTAAACTGAAATTGCATCTTGCAAAGAATGTGCTAAGCAATATGATGGTTAAACCCAGTCATTCAAAGGTGTTAAGTGTCATGTTTTTCAGTAAATTATCTAAACAAATGAAAAGGCACATATGAATATATATTCACCCAACTTATCCTCAACTTTATCGCTTTTTTAGTGGTTTCGAATGGCTTACCTCAGGTCCCACAATGAGCTGCGATATTCTAGGGTACTTGGCACAATGAACTGAATAACCGAGCGGCGCTGTCATGTGAGAATCATGCATATGTAATTATTTTGGACATCAAAGCGGACCAGCTTCGCCAGATCAACAATTGTCGCCCCAAATGGACCGGATGGGGTCCCCAGTCCATTGCTGACTCGTATAATTGACATAATTGATTCGAATTCAAGACATGCATCCAAAAACCCCGCCCGTGTTCACTTGGGCGAGAGGAACCTTTCGAAAAGCCGCCTTTAGCACACTGACCTATTGATTTTTTCGTTGCAAACGACGAATTCGGTTCTCGATATGGCATGACAAAATTCACACATTTTATTGTATACTTTTTGTAGAAAATGAATTGCGAAATAGAGTTAACAACTTAAAAACATTAATTAAATGCACGTGCGATCCAGTCACTCGATGTATACGTTCTGTATATCTTCTAAATCGCTAGAACAAGCGATAGATATTAGCTTAGGGAACTTGGTTGCAGTTGAGAGCTTGGACGATAGTGGATGAGTATCTGAGAGCTATGGCTAATGCAATTCGTATTCCTACAGTCGCTCCATCTCGATGGCACAGCTATCGTCCTCCTGGTCCGTGGGTGCAGTGGTAGCCAGCTCACTGGTGGCCGCGTACGATGCGTGTGGAACAGGTTGTTGCTCTTCCTGATTCTTGTACTCCCGCCGCTTTCGCATGATGTAGGCGAACACGAAGCCGTTTATCACCAGCATGGCCAGGACGATTATCGTGGGCCAGACCACATCCACGGACACATCCAGATTATTTGCACTGACATCGGTCATGGTATTGTATTGCTGTAGACCTCCTTCTGGGTTTTATGTAATATCAGTGCTATTACTTTGGTTTTCTTGTAGTCCGTAGCACGTTTTTACGATGACGCGCGTGCTTTTTTCGTACTGCTGGGGGCTGGTTGGCTCCTTTTATTTCTTTTCTCTCAAATTTCTATATATTCTCTCCGCTGCTGCACAGCTGCGAGCGTTCCGTCTGCTTGGAGCGTCGGTAGGGAAATAACAAAAATACTACGGACCGCTTTTGGTGGTGGCCCGCTCATACACACACTCAGTCGGGTGGAAAAGAGCCGAGTTCACACACTCTACACTTCGTATCACAAATCGAGAGCCCAATTTACGTAGGCAAACTATTTGGAGGAAGCGGCGTACTCTATATATTTCTTGTTTCTTTTTCTTTTTGCAACGCGCGCATTGTGGGCAGCCCGTTTAAAAACGAACCGGTTTTCCGAATCGCTTGATTTATAAGGATTTCAGGCGTGGTGGTCAAATACGTTTTCGCCAACCGGTTCGGATAAAGCGAACAAACATATATATATAAAGAGGAGCATCATCAATGCTTTTGCAAGTCAGCCAAATCTTTCCCCCTCTTGTTTATTTACGGCAGCCTATTTGTTTGTGCACTTGTCGCTCGGATTTCGCGCTAGAGAACTTTCGGCTCTCGGAAATACCAACGAAATGCCAATTTGATAAGAAACTTGCCGATCAGTCACGCGTCATTTCCAAAATGCTAGCGACCCCCCGCCCGACTATGTTTTTAAATATTTGCTCACAATCAGAAACTGAAACGCATTATTCTGGAATTTTAGTGCTTATCAGTGTCTCAGTTCTAATCTTGTGACTTTTGCAGCTGTGCATTTGCAACCGCCAACTGTAGCACATTGGACTCCACACAGATTACAGATTATGTCGCTGCGCTCGATTCAACTGTAATTTGAATTGCGCGCCTATTCTTTTGCGTCCAGGCATGGGTAGCACTGTTTTTAGCAGTGTGACCAAGTCCTAGCGTTTTTGTTTTGGTATTTTACATACAATTTACAGGCGCTAAATTTAAAAGATACAAAAGGCACATCCATTTTAAATTTAATACATTATTGACTAGATTTTAATTAAATTGAAGTTTTCATTTTTTATATTTGATTTATTTCTGGCTTTTCTTTTATAGCAATTTCAGCTGAATTAAATGTAATTTTATTATTGTACAAAATACAAGATTGCATATAAAACTAAATAAATCAAATATTTATGTGCCTTTAAACCAGTTTTTAGAAATTAACAATTTTATTATAAAACAACGTTTTTAAAGTGCGTAAATCTTTTTAGAATCTCCAAGAATTTTCCGAAATAAATCAAATGTTTGATAGGTACATAACAATTTTTCTAGTCTTGATTTTGTGAACCGAGTTGGAATATATAACAACAATGTATTATTTGTTTTGCCGATTGGCAAAAAAATGTTTATAAAAAAAATTATGCGATAAGTGGCGCATCATTTTTGCATGATGTGTCATCCAATTTAGTGATTTTTGTTTAGCAAAATGTCAGCGGAAGTTAAGTGAAACATTTACTTCAGCAAGTATTTATCAAATAAGAAATGCGGGTGGCATTTGAAACTGCATTACAAAAGAAGGGATAAGTCAATGAGGGGAATATTCAAAGCAATTACACCAATATATGACTGTTATCACATGGGATCTGCAGCTAATTATTATTTGTACGCCCCCATTCGTGGTTAATGCCGCTTGGCACGGCACATTAGAAAACAACTATTCAGCAAAATAATGGAAAAAATCCCGAACTTTTAATCTCACCGATAAGAAATAGCGACACTATGGGTACATTCAACTAATTAATAGAGAATCCATCGATAAGCACACGGAGTTACAAGTGAAGGCTGCGAGACAAAGAGTAATTTGCTTAATCAATGAGTGCAAGCAATAAAATAAGCAATGCAGAAGGGGTCAAAAATCAAAGTCGGAATTGACAATGGGATTAGGAAACAATTGCTTGCAAAAAATGTTACAAATCATGGCTTATCAGTGGACCAACTCGAGTCTTGCACGGCTTATCGGCTGGACTGACCCGCGGCGTAGCGAAAGTGGGCGACGACTTGATTGTCCGTCCATCCAACCGATGTTTACGGATGGGCTAAGCCCGGTCGCTGGTCATGTGAGCCGGCATGTGACTGGACTGAATAGACTTGTGGACTTATCTGGACTCTTTTTGATGCAGCCGCGCAGCAGTGCATTCACACTCACTCGTGACTCAGTCGAGAAGAATCGTCACAAACGGAAGAATGCGCATGTAAGTCGCAGTCCAACTATGCAAACAATGTCTGCCCAAGACAAAGGCCCAAAAATAATGCATTAATCATCGATAATCAAGCCCTTGTTACGCGAGAACACTTGTTGTACTCCGATTTCCTGGGGTGACAAATCGAAAATAATCCATTGATAATCCGGGAAAACTCACCTTGAATGTATGCCATTCCTCCTTGATCACATCGGCGAAAGAAACGGCCTGGGCCACCGCCAGCAGGGCCAAAAGAGGCAGTAGCACAGCTGTGCGCATTTTGAATAGTCAGAGAATCTGTAAAAAATCACACAATTAGTAAGCCATCTAATAGAACTACCAGTCACGTGAAGCTGGACCAGCATCAAACCTGATTTCTGGGGAAATTAAATGATAATTATAAAATAACAGGGTAAAAAACATGGACTAAACTAATACAATTAAATACAAAGTCGAAACTTGTCGTGATCGATAGGAAAAATTCGCCATATTAAGTCTAACCTATTTTGAATTGGTTCTTTAAACTTATGTGAGTTACTAGCCAGAGCTATAATTTATTAAGATAAATTATGGATATTATAAAGTAGATGTTAGAAAATAAATTATTTTGTTTAAATTCAGTAAGCACCCTAAACAGCTATTAAATTTATAAACCATTTCCGCACATAGAACAAACAAAGCCATGCCCTTATAGAACTTTAGAAGTTATTAATAATAATAATATTAATAAATAAAGCTGCCCAAAACTGGTTTTTGAATTTACAATTTGTATAACTTTTGTGTTAAACTGGGCCATATACAAATAGTTTCGATTTGTGCAGATGGTGTTATATAGGGCTTGATCAATTCGCGGGGCGTACATATACATATATATCGTTGTTTGCTTTGTGATATATGTAGGTTTAGTTTGTTGTTTTCGAAGTCGAACAGTACGTTATCTTATCGGCCATTCCACTTTGCCTATAGCTTCGTATTGCTTTTCAAAAAGTCTGCCATTTTTGTCCGATTTGTATTTTTACGGTACTGTTTTTGCGACCATTTTGAGAAACGTGAGGGGCATTTGATAAAAATTGTTATTTATTTCGCCAAGTTCGAGGGCGAAAACGGGTTTTGAAATTCAAGGTGATTCATTTAAAGAGGAATATTAGTATCAGGTGAGATAAAGCCAACAAAGGCTAGAAAATGGGTCAGCACAAAGAGGAGGGCAGAGAAATCTAAACAAAGAAGCGCAACAGAATAGCAGAAAATAGGGGAAAGGGAAAGGAAAACCAGAAAACGGAATAGACGAAGATGCCGACTACCGATTGTGGAGTGTAATTAAAGTGTAAATAAGTCGAGACAAAGGCATGACGCAACTAAATTCAACAAGTCAATCAGCTATTTACAATATAAATATTTGACGACATTAATGCAGGGCAGGTTTATTTGCGTTCTACGCGCTAAATTAACTGAGGAGGGGAATGTTTTCCACTTACCACTCGGAACTGCGTCGCAGGAAATTCACTTAGTTTACCACTGTTGTTGCACTTTTTTTAATAACTGGAACTACGCTTATGTGCAAGCCAACCAATTGTGTTTGTCACGTCGCAAATAAAAGCTCTGCTCTCGAAGACTCTTCGTTGTTTAATAAAAATCAGCAGGAATTGTTGTTCGAAAGAAATCTTGGGAGTAATACCAGCCAGCGCGTTCTGGAAATACCAGAAAGTGCGTTGGGCAGACGGTATATCGATAACAGCGGTCAGGGATGAACTCCTGGCTCTAAAGCCGCTAAATCTGGCTGGTTTAGTTGAATAGCTATTTCCGTTAAATTTAAAATGGCCGTTAACTATATTACAGCGTTTCGGAATATGCAAAATTGGCTTTGGGTTGAAATTATATTTATTGTAGTTTGAAATCATATAATATTTATATTATTATATCTTAATTCACGTGGAATTTTCAAATTGTTGCGTATGACTTGTGTGATATTATAAAGATGTCAAGTTGTGTGAACACTCGAAGAGCTCTTTGAGCCGAGTGGAAAGATTTCACGAAGTACAACTATTATATTTTTTTATTCTGTGCAAGCCTTCTGGTGATTTTAGAATCAATAAACGGAGATAATGCTAACCAAATTTTCGTAACTAAATAAAAGATGGCTCTGAAATTGAATAATCGCATAGAGCTCTGTTCTAAATTATTTGTATTTTTTACGGCCGGATACAATTATTATTATAGCCATTTGAGTGTATTTGAGCGGTTTGTTTAGCTATAGAATTAAAGATTTAAAAAGTCCACATTGTCTTCAATACTATAGTATTTTAATTGCAGTATTTTCGTATTGGCTGACAGCGAAGGAATGGAGGTTGTATTGGCTTACTTAAAAATTTTAAGTGGTATGTGTATTCGCTAAAAGATCCGTACAAATACAAATTTCGACCATATTGGCTATATCACTGTGGACAGCAATCCACGTTGTGACGAAGCGCACCAGGAGAGTGTGCGAAGGCGACTACTGTATATAGCCGCAGAATTGAAAATCTGCTGAGATGGTCTGATAGTAATGAATGATGCACAAATCGAAATTTATCGCAAAACCAACTAACTAATTCTTACTGACAATAAGCGTCGAATGACACCTCATATGTTTAAACCCTATGCCCTGTTCGAACAAAGCTCCCGGTGAAGACCTTCTGGACAACAGGAAGATTCGACTTTACTGGATCAAGCCTTGCAATTGCTGGTGTCGTTATTCAACAGCGTACTAACTGTTGAATACTTCCCGAAAGTTTGGAAATCGGCGAGTATAATCATGATCCCAAAACCAGGAAAATCGGCGACTGACGTGGACTCATACAGGCCCATTAGTCTTCTACCATCCCTGGGAAATGTCATGGAAAGGCTGATCCCAGGCTCCTCACTTACGAGAATGTTACCAGTGCGATTCCGGAATTCCAGTTCGGCTTTCGTCTTCAACATGGAACTCCTGAGCAATTGCACAGAGTTGCCAACTTTGCTTTATAAGCCTTAGAGAAGGAGTATGCAGTTGCTGCCTTTCTTGACATCCAGCAGGCTTTTGTCAGAGTGTAGATCCTGTACAAAGCCAAAAGTCATTTTACGCCACAGCTGTTTCAGCTCAAGAAAAGCTTCCTGGAAGAACGCACTTTCCACATATCTGCTGATAGGTACAAGCCGCCCAGCAAACCGATCTCTGTCGGTAGCGTCCAAGGTAGCGTCCTCGGCCCAACTCTATACTCTATCTATGCTTCAGTTATGCCTACACAAACTCCAATCACTGAAGTTGAAGAACAAGACGTGCTAATTGTGACCTACGCCGATGACACTGCTGACCTGACAAAAAGCAAAAGTATATTGGCTGCCACTTTTGCATTGCAAGAGTGTCTGGACCCATTTCACCAATGGATTTGGTCAAAAAAACTCACTTTTGGCAGGCACATTACTTGTATCCCACTCTCCTTTAGGACCATAGTTGATCGGGTGGCTTGGCTTCTCGCACAACGCAACAAGCTCGCGCTTGGCGAAATATTTAAGTCCATATTAGCGCCAAATCTTTTCTATGGTCTCCAGGTTTATGGCATCGCTGCAAGAACCAACCTCAACAAAATCCGGGCTTTGCAAGCGAAAACACTTCGAAGGATCTCTGGAGCTCCGTGGATTATGCGAACCAGAGACATCGAACGTGATCTCAATGTGCCCAAACTTGGAGACAAGCTGCAGGAACTTGCTCGGAAATACATGGAAAAGCTAAATGAGCTTCCCAACAGCCTAGCCAGAAAACTTGGTACCGCTGCTATAAACAGCGCTGAACCAAATAACCGAATCAAAAGAAGACTAAAACGACACCACCCTCAAGACCTACCGGACCGGATTTTGACCTAGCAACGTTACCATCCCCAATATTATAATCAAAAAACTCACGCAATTACTTCTGGCCCTAAGTATCGCTTAGACTAATTATTGTATAATTATTGTAAGAACCGATAAGATTAAGCTGCCTGTTGGGTAGCAGTGTGCTAATCTTAAGAATAAAATTTCCGCATTTATAAACTTTGAAAAAAAAGTAATTCAAGAAACTGAAAGTGCTTTCCACTTTGGAAATGGTGCTATGCTATATATTTTATTTACTGTAAACAACGAAATGGTATTGACTAAATACTTGCTCCAGTGGTTCAATTAAATTTTAAATTTAAAATTATATATTTATAATATATTTAAAAATAATTCATAAGCTGAAATTATCAGCTTTATTTAAATTTAGTCTATCTTAAGCTATCTTGGCCAAAAACTTCAAAATGAAACATAAGGGATCATCTCCAAAATTTTTTTAGCTTTTTAATAAAAAAAAAATTTACAACTGGAGGGTTTTACTTGAAAATAAATAGTTACGTAACAGCCCCTGACATCGTTGCTGCTGACACCTATGCTGTTATACCATCTGGGGAGCACCCTTTTCCAGGTATTCTCCCTCTTCACCCCATTCTTTATTGTGCCCATTTACAAATAACCTCAAAGTCAGTTTGCTTGCGAATTTAAATACGACATTTGCAAATCCATATTCGAGCAGGAAGCCCTGTGGATCATATTGGAAGCCCAGTCCCCTTACCGACGAAACAAGAGTCGGAACCAGCGCGTGCCCCATTTCTAGCTACACCCACCATCTTTTGTTGCTGATTAAATCACTCGTGATATCCTACAAGTACGAGTTCTTAAAGAGATACTTGTTCAAATAAAGCGATAACTCAAGTTTTTTATTTTAAGCCTGAGTCCCAAAAGTATCTAAGTTGCGCCCGAATATTGGTCAAATCAAAAGACAACTCCACTGTAAACGTACTCTAATTTAGAATAGTAGTGGTGAAAAATCGTACATTTTTAACATTAGCTAAAAAGAAGCCAATAAGCAATCACTGTTTGATTCACTTTGCTCACTGACAAAAGCAAACTGCTATAGCTAACAGAGATCACTTGTAAATAACCGTTTTTAATCGTTTTTTGGCTCTCTGGTAATTGCTGAGATGTTAATTTTTAAGTTGATGTATTTCAAGCAACATGGATAAATTCTATAAAATGTATGTTAATTTACATGCTTTAAGTAATCAAAAAGAATTGGCATTACATTTCTTCTCTTCCTATTGCTCTCAAGTTATTTTTCCCTTTCTTATTATCTGTGTCTCTGTCTCCCTCTCGTTCTCTCTGCCTGCTGCACCTAAATATGTAGCTTTGCGGAAAATGCATTGCCAAATGCAAAACGCAAACTTAGTTCGCTTCTCGCTCTCACGCAGTGCATTCGCGTATCGTGAATTTCTCGTTCAATTGAACAATTTTGTGCATGTCAATTACACATAACGTACAGAATGTTCAACGTGGTGATTTAGAGATTTATTGTTTTTGAGAGGTTCAAACATTTTCATTGATGCAGCTTTCTTTTCTTCAAATTGAATCTTCTTGGCCCCACAATCACATGTTTGGTGCAGTGTAGAAAGTCCAATAAGAACCAAAATATTCTTAGCAGAATAAAAACAAAAAAGCTGGCCAGCAAACGGGTTATGTCGCACTCGCACACACCCGCAAAAGGCTCTCGTAAACATGCGTTGTCTTTGTCCCACCCGTTTTTGCATTCTCCCACCGTTGCATCACACACACGTACGCACACTTGCTTGTAACGTAATAAAAGCACGTGTTGTGTTTGATTTCTCGCTCCCACCTGACCCCCCTCCCCTCACCTCACAATTTGTGACCGCTTTGTTTTTGCTTTCATGACGTGACTTTGCTCGTTGTGTGAGTAAAGGCAGATCGCTCTCTCTTCGCTCTTCTGATAACAGTTGTGTTTGTGCGCGCTCTCTTCTCTGGCTCCCTTGCTTTTGTTTTGTTATTGTTTGGCTTTTGCCTTAGCTTTGTTTACTTTTTCAGCTTTTTTTTTCGAACAAGCCTCGTGTTTTTTGTTTTTATTCTTGGCTTTTTTGGCTTTATGAAATGAGTGGGGGCCACAAGAGAATTAGCCAAGGCATTGAATATGGGTGCATATTGTCCACACATCTGTGTTTGGCTACAAATTCAAGCCCAAGTCAAGTTCCCAAGTATTGTGGCCATTATGCTCGGTTGGTTGAACCGGTTTCGAGCTTTGCTGAACCACAGGAACCTTTCTGATATTCTGATTAGTTCCCACACATATCAACAGGTAGCTGCAGCGCGGCCCTCGCGTGTGTGAGTGTGTTTGGCTGAGTGAACTTGCCACCTACTCAAACACCCGCGGACACATCGGAAGTTACTGCCCAGCGCCCAGAACCAAACCACCAAATGCTGAAATACCGAAATACTGAAATGCTGAACTTCCCCAGAAGTTCAAACGCACACACACACACAGAAACACACACATTGTGGCGCAACAAGCTCTCCCTCTCCCAGTTAACCATTACCCCCCTCTCTTAGCCGCTCTCTTGAAAACCTGCTGCCGCTGCACAGAAATCAAAAGTGAACACACACTGCACGCCGCCCTCTCTTGGTCTTCCTCTCCCATCTCTCCCACCCCCCGCCACTCTGCCCCCCGTTGGGCGCCAAATAACAAAAACGAACGGCAGTTCGTTGCCTTCGTTCTTCGTATCTTGATTTGTGCCCGGTTCTAGTTGGTTAAGCCGTTCGGTTGCCACTCGGCATGCTGCGTCGGCCCGCGTCGGCTCCTCTTCGGCTTGGGGGCTGTGGCGCTCGGCCCACTCCCACTCCACTCGGCCCCACTCGCCAGTCAGTCGGCAGGCAGAGCAAGAGCAGCCCGCAGCTTTTTTCGTGTGGAGATCGCAGTTTTTCGCTTGCCAATCGATGCGGTTCCGGAATCCATTTGCAGTTCTTTGCAGTGCAGCGCTTCTTTGACTTTGCTTAATTTGCTTACACGGCAATTGACGGCAATTAAAGGCGTTAGAACGGCGTTAATTAATTCATGTTCGCTTTTTGAACACAGCTGGCCAGACAAGTTGTTGGCCCCCCCGTGATAAGCAAAACACTAGTTTGCCGAGTGGAATGCATTTGATTAGATTGCGATTTGTTTGTTGGCCCCCTCGTCATTGTTGTCATTAAACAAAAGCTGTGCGGACCGGTTAACCTGACTTACCCGTTTCGGCGTCCGTTTCGATTTTCGGTTCCAGTGCCGCTTTCCTAAAAGTCGCGAATCTTTCGGGTTTTTTGCCACTCTTGCAGAATGAGTTTCGGCTGTGCACCGGAAACAAACGAGAACGAAATAACAATCAGCCATTCACAAAGCCATAAAGCCCAGTGAAACACTTGATAACGGAGCCCAAAATCCAACAACCCCAAGCCAAAAAACCAAAATACATATATCTCGCAACGTTGATTAATTAAATGCTGATCCGGTGATTTCGCGTCTGAAATATCAATCGAAACGAATAAAATATGTGTGTCATAAGTGCAGAGAAGAAGTGAAGTGCAGCTAAATGTGAAATGCGAAAAGGCCCAAAAATGCAATTGATTTAAATGAATTTCTGTTTAAATTGAAATAAATATTTTCCACCACTCGTAACACGAGCGACCGACCAAACGAAAGCCGGAAAAGTGCAAGTTCATGGCGAAATTTAAATACCAATTGGTGCCAGCTGAGGGGAAAATCGAAGTGCTCGAGCCATTTAAAGGCAGTGCGGTTTAGGATTGCTGACGAAGAACAATTCAGATTAAACCAATTAAAATTGGATTTCTGTCGAATAACAATAGAGAACCTTTAGAGAATAGCAAAAGTAGTAGCACCAGGAGTAATGGCACCACTTGAGAGCAATTGAGCGCATCGTTACAGCACTAAAACAAGGGAAATAGTTTCGAGGCACAGAGCAAACAAAGCGAGGGAAAATGTCAGCCACTCAGCCAAAGGATACGGCATTAAAGACTAAGGAATTGGCAGTTGAAGCAGCAGCAGCAGCAGTAGTACCCCCACCCCCACCACCCACTGCCAAAGCACTAACAACAGCAACAACAGCAACGGGAAGGAAAACTTTAACCTCCAGCGCGGCTTTGTCATTGTTTGATCAGCTGAAAAACAGCGTCAATTTAAACAGTTTGACAATTGGCGCCGGCAACAACAGCAACCCAGAAGCAACACCACCTACAGCAACAGCAACAGCAGTTGCCACACCCACCACACCCGCTACACCACCACCACCCTCTCCCTCCCCCTCACCCTCCTCCAACATTGAACTGAAACCCCCGGCGAAACCCGCGCGACCCTTCAGCACGCCCAGCAGCATTGGCATCGTGCAGGGCACCAAGCGGGGGGCGGGAGGCGTGGTCGGTGGCAGTAGTGGCGCCCAAACAGCCAAATTGGATATAAACGCATTGCGATCTCAGCTCTATCAGGGCGCCAGGAAGACTGCAACAACAGCAACACGAATAGGAGCCGGCAAGACATCAACAGTTGTGGCAACAGCCAACAGAGCAACTGGAGGGGAACGCGGCACGAAGGGATCCAAGAAGCGGTGTCTGGATCGATACGACTCGTCAGAGTCATCAGACAGGTGAGTGCATGTTGTGGCCATAATGCGGAAATGGTGTACCAGTCAAAACTCACCGACTAACAGGGATTTTAAAACATGCATTGTGCACATAGGCTTTACTAGAAAAGAACATCCACACAGACATATATCCATAACTTATGACATAAGAACGCTTAGGATTACATGGAAACCGTGTTATAAACACTCGATTCTAAGCGAACTTTGAAATTTTCACCTAAATTCATAATTGGATTTAAGCTTACGAACCAAAGTTTGCTTGGATTCAGAATATTGATTGATTGTTTTGAATACTTTAAGATCATATTCGACTATATCCTCATTTTCTTCTACCCTAGACACAATCTTCTAGGAAACTTTAATAGATTCTGAGAACTAAAAGCTATGGATACTTTATATTGTAGAATTAATTTTAATGTTCTATGTACTCTCTATTGTTTACTCTCTATAATAAAGAGTAAAAATACAACTTTAGTCACATATAGTATAGGATTATCCGCAAGACTTTCCAATAGCTTTAGTAGATTCTCTGTTTTTAAACATGCATTTGAAACTTATCTGAAAACCTCTGCATTCCTGTAAGACTTTAAGACAGCAAACAAAAAATAAGCAATACCATTTGCACTTCTGCCCATCAACGTCTTTAATGCACAGTCATTAAATGCCCTAACAATGCAAGATGCCAAATGTATCTCTTGGATGCACTGGCTGGCTATAAACGGAACTGCACGACTGCATCTGCAAACTCGCTGGCTGTGCCAAGACTGAGCTAAAAGCGGATACTCTAAATATACACACGCTTGGCACTGCCAAAAAAGTGAGCCAAAAGTGTGATCCGCAAGATACTCAACTGAAATAGACTGCAGACCATCGGAAGCATAATCAAGGCATTAATCAAATACCCAACGAGCAGCCAGAACTGGAGAACGTTAATAACCGATTCCGCTGAATTTATGCGACAAGTAATCGGTTCAATAAACGTGTACCTGTAAGAGTAGCCGGTCTTGTAAAGAGCGCACGAGGCACGCGCCTCATAGATTGTGAATTTATGGCCTACAGATACATTTGTATCTACTTAAATGGGCAGCCACAAAAACATCTTGCCGCAATGCCAACTAATTTCCGCTCATTAAAAATGCGCAGCGCGGAATGGAAACAGAAACAGCAACAGCAACAGAAACAAAGAAAAGCAAAGGCCGCAACGGACTGCAGGCATTTGTATCTGGCAGATACGCACAACATGCGTTCATTTATCAGCCACAAAAGGCAGCTGATGAGCCGCAGTGGCGGTAGCTGCGGATTTTCAATGTGCGGCGCGTGGGCGGTTGAGCAAACGTCGGCGGCTTCCTGGCTGCATTGAGATATAGATATGTAGATATAGATGCAGATACTACTACATTTTCTGTCGGGCCAAATGAAACTTCAAACTGCGATGTACGATTTGCTCTACGCTTGCTTGAGTTTTGTTCATTTCAAAGGAGTTGTTGGATTTAAATCATGATTATGTTTTAGTTAAGAAGTTATATAAATTGTAACGGACTAATAAAAAAAGGAATATTAAGTCTCACCATTGATGTATGTATGTTTTGGGGTGTTTGCTTAAAAACCCTGGACTGAACATTATCTCACAAACAAAAGTAAAAGTACTTGAGAACTCACAGCAAAAGTTAACTCTGAAACAATGTAAATTAAGTTAGAATAAAAGTATCTATGGTTCTAATGCTCCTATAGTTTTGTAATTTGGTAGAGTATTCTCTATACAAGTTGATTTCTTCATCTATCTTAAGTATTTATTATCCCTTTGGCATAGTTAGAATAAAAGTATCTATGGTTCTAATGTTCCTATAGTTTTGTAATTTGGTGAGAGTATTCTCTATACAAGTTGATTTATTAATCTATCTTAAGTATTTATTATCCCCTTGGCATAGATCGCTTCTGATTCAGGTTACTTCTTCTGATATGGTTCTGCCTCTTTCCATATCAAATTGTATCTATGTTCTGTAGGGTCTGGCGTATCTTTATCTCTCAGTATGCCTAACGCGTCGCGAATGTTTTGTCAATTGGCTCATCACCGCCCTCCGTATCAACATCCCCATCCACTCCCCCTAAGATCGCGTTTTCTCGTCGGCTGGTGAGTGATGTCGTCGTTGTTCCTCTTCGCTGGCAGTCGGAAATCATTTAAACTTTTGGTCGTTGAACTCTTTTTGATTTATTTATTTTGTTTGTTTTTTTTTTTGCTCGAGTTGTGTGTGTGCTTTTTTGTCGCCGTCACAAAACATGAAATTTTGTTGTTGCCTTTGGTTTGCCATGATTTTGTTTATTTTGACTTGCGCTGTTTTTGCTCGAGACTTTGTACTGAATCTTTGAAGAGTTGAGAAGTTGGCATTTGCATCTGGGCAAGACATATCTCTGGTTTAATTAAAGATGTATCTTTTTCTTAGGATTGGGTTAGGATTGGATTGATGCAAACTCAATTCTTTTCAGTGACCCCGATTTGCTGACTCGTTTTAAATTCTGCAAGCCAGAAGAGAACGTGAACCACAAAAAACAAAAACACACTCGTACTTCCACTGAGAGTAGTCATTAAAATTTTATTTTTTCAGAATAACAAAACAAATTGCAGTCTTCGCCAGCCAGTGAAAAAAAAAGTGTATATGAGCAGAGCTAGCAAGTAACATCCGCAGCTTCGTAGCGAAGGAATTTAACTTTAATTATCGCTCATAAAGCTGAAAATACAACAACTCCGCCAGAGTAACTGCCTACTTCAGCAGATACAAACTCGTGTGTGTTGCTGCTGCAATTGCTGTCATCATTTTTGTTTATTTGCAGTGTGACTTTAGTGACTTTTGTCTTACAGGTTTTCCACGTTTTTCCACATATTTCCACAAGACCCCAAGAGCGACCCACTGCTCCAATGGCGCGAGTCTTTTGCTTTTGCTTTTGCTGATTGTGGGCTGTTGCTGTTGCTGCTGTTGCTGCTGTTGCTGCTGATGTTGCTGATGTTGCTGTTGCTGTTGCACTTTTCGCCAAGTCATGCAAAGGGGGGGCAGGGGCAGACAATCACCCTGAGATATTGTGTAATCGCCCACGTTGATTTATCTCGTTTAAGTGACTCCGAAACGGCAGCAACTGCAGCAGCAACACCAACAGCAACAGCAATTGCAATTGCAATGACAGCGGCAACATCGCGCGATGACGTCGAAAGTGTAATATAATAAGTTGCGATTGCTAGTCGCTGCCTTTGCTAGTAACTTCGTGTAAGTTTAGTGGTCGTGCCTCCGATGCTATTTGCCATTTCTTGGCATTGCCATTTGGTGGCTCCTTTTTGGTCTTTTATGCATTCGTGTAAGCCAAGTTTTTGGGGCCAAAGCTGCACTCTCGGTTTTGTTGGCCAACTTTATTGTGGACAGCGGATGGGTTCTGGTGCTCGGGCGATCTCCCATCGATTATCAAAATAAAAACTTTTGAGGGACAGCTAAACCTTGTTACTAAGTTCTACTACTAAGTGGACGGAAATTGGAAACGCCCCGAGTAAGTGCGGTTTATCCAATCGCAACGTTCTACGCCCCTCTTACAGCCGATTGCGCATTTCACTAAAGTGGTCTTAAGTTGGAAGTTTTTTATAAGGAGATATGTATATACAAAATAAACAAAGGGGTTTTATGAGAACCAAATCCAATTTATATTTCCTGTTCAATTCTTAGATACTTTTTAGATGCTTCACCTATCATCACTACGGATAGCTGATGATTTTGGGGCTACTGTACGTAAATATACATTGTGTTTTTAATATTAAAATCAACCTTGACCTATATTTTAGCTAGCCAATACTTACTAGTAAGAAACAGAAAATTTTTTCCACGTATTATATTTTTATTAGTTTTATAAAAGTCATAAATCCAGATCTATCAGCACTTTTCTCATCGTGTACACTTTAGTCTGACTTTTATTTTGCTTTAATGTTTTCTTTTTAAATTTTGGTTTATGTTCTGCTGTAGTGAGTCGCGTGTGTTAGTTCTCTGGCGCGATTCCCAGTCTTTTCCGTGTAGCAGAACCCCCTTTGCCCCCTTCGCCGCCGCCGCCACTGCCTTCAGACCGTCTTTGTTGCACCTCCTGCTGTCAGCCCTTTTTTGCTTTTTTTCCACTTGTTCGCCGCATTCTTAGTTCGTTGTTTTTGTTGTTTTCTGGTTTTGTTGTGATACCCTACTTTAAGAGGGGATGTTTTGCTACCAGATGGTTTTGGATACTCATTATAAAAATACGATGTTACTCGTTAAGTTGGACAACTGTTATGAAAGGTACTATAAATAAATCCATATACGGAGAAAATTCTGACGTTCTCATCTGAGTTGAAAATGTTCTTAAAAATAAACCGACCTTTTTAAGTTGAAAATGTTTATATTTTGCTCGAATCAAGTTGAATTGGCGGTATTTAAATACATTGTATGTACAAATAAACTATTAGTTCAGTCCTTAGTGTATTCTTATCAAAAAGTGGGTAAATAAACTCAATTTAACTTTTCTCTTCTCATCATTTCGTTCTTATGTTGATACCAAAGTGTACTTACACGGTTTTTTAGAACGAATGTTCTCAATTCAAGAACAATGTTCTTGGATACTTCTCTCTGTGTATAAATACGGAAATCGCTTAGCGCTGAAATCTTGTAAAATCTATAATGATGGACTTTTAATGACTTCTTTAATACAAAATATTTTATAAAGGTGTCAGTGAATGGTATCTAATAGTCTGGACGTTTGGCTCTTAAAGCAATCGGTTTTCAAAGGTAAAAATATGCTAAAAGCAGACATTTTTATCAAAATTTTTGTAGACAAAAAGATTTTGTTAATCTCTTAAATTCTTTGTTTGGTTGTGACTTGAACTTGACTAGGTTGTAAACATATTTTTTCCGTTTAATCGCAAATATGTAAGATAACATTAAAAAAGTACTACTGTGATAATGACTGAATGTCGTTTTGTTTCGTTACTGAAAAACTCCGGTTCA